AAATTGGGGAAATAAAATGATGAAAATGATCCCTCCAACTGCTGTAAAACGGCTATATTTCAAGGATAAAAGGGGAATTCAAAAAAAAAAAATTATTTTTTTTTTAATTTTTTTTGGGTCAACCCGGCGGGTTGGCTGTTGTAACTCGCGGGTCAGCCCGGCGGGTTGACTGTTATTGCAACAGCCAACTCACCGAGTTGGCGGTTCTTTCTTAGAAAGGACAAAAGTGTAACTCGCGGGTCGCCGGGTTGCCATATAGCAACCCGACCTGCCCGGAGGTTGCACGCGGGTCAGGTTAGGGTTGACCCGCCTAACCCGGCCCATTTGTTCCACCTCTAATTGGAACCAGAAAATATAAGTATCCTTGATGGAATGGTAAATACAGTTGCTGCATGGTCAATTGATGTGAAGCCACAGACAATTATCAATTGTTTTAAGCATTGCAAAATTAGGACCTCTGATGTCGATGAATTGCAAGTTACAAACGAAGTGGATAAAGGGAATAGAAAAGTCATTGCAGAATTGAGTGATCAAATTTAACAACTTCACTACACTAATCGAATGGATATTAATGTCTTCCTCGATCATCCAAATGAGCAACAAGTCATATATGCTTTAACTGAAGAAGAAATAATTGATGCAATTAGACAGTAAGAGAAAGGAAATAATTCTGAGGATGATAGTACGGAAATGAAAAAAGTTTCGTGCCACTCTAAAGATGCTTGAGAAGCTAGAAATATTTTAGCTTCAACAAGAAGGTGTCCATGCTAGCGAGTTATTATATACCCGCAAGTTAGAAGATTTGATAACAATTCTAAAGCATAAATCATTGTCTCAAATAACTTTAGATAAATTTTTTATTTCATCATAAACCTTTAATGTAACATAACATATATTTTTTTTACAATATACAAATAATTATTACTATGTGGAGATAACTTTTCTTAAGACGGGAATTAAAAAATTTATAACTTATTACAATATAAAGTTTATTCTTATTTATAACTATCCCAAATTGAGAATTAAATTTTTTATGATTATATAGAATTTATTCCTATATAAAATATCACTATAAGGAGGTTTTACTTCATTATATTGTTAATAACTTTTATCAACTAATGCATGAGAAAAAAAAAAGAAAAGAAAATAAAAGATTAGAAGCTTCCATATCATTAATGTTAAAGAGTTATGTTATGGGCGAGAGAAGAGGACTACAATCCTATCTCATTAAGGTCAAACTAAAGGCCGAAAGCAATTAAAAGACTGAATTCCATCGATGCCTTTTGATTTCACTACTCTCTTTCTCAATAAAGCTTAGGTAAAAGCACCATCTTTTTTATTGGCTAAACTGTTTATGTATCCATATTTTAGGCCCATTTAAAACCATTCTTATGGATGGACCAAAAAGTTAAGGAATTGGGAGCTAAACTATTTTATACATATCTTATATTCAGTTATTAGTTTTTTAAATTTGTTGAATGAAAATATATCAAATATAATTTTATTTCCATCTTTCTCATATGTGATGTGTCACGTTCATTTCAATTAATTTGGTGATCAAGATGTTCAACCCCATTGGAAAAATGACCAAATGGACCCATTTACATTTAATTTGTAACAAAAAAATCCAATCCTACCAAACTCAAGTGTGAAACTATTTAAATAACTTTGTTACTATTGCTTTTGTCACCACACTAAGCAATTAATCTCATTTGCCAAATATATTAAATTACTTTGATGTGAAATTTTATTTTAATTTCTCTCACGCGGAGTTTTTCTTCCCAGTAAGGAACAGTTACAAACTGACAAGATGGTAATGTCATCTCATCTATGCCAACGCTTTAATCTTCTTGTTTACTAAAACCACTCTCAAGAAAATAATTAATACACTGCCCTCTTCCTTGGACTTTCTTTCTTTCTAACCAAACAATACTGAGTCCCAATCCCAAAGGCTCTGGAGCCCACTGCCTATCAATTTCTAACGCGTCGGCATATTCTTATTGGTATCAACTGTTTAAAAAATCGTGGCCGTGTAAGACTCAAATGCGATTTCTTTAACCTTTATTTATTTTAACGGAGCTTCGTGTTGGGTATTTGTTGATTACAATTTTTATTTTATTTTTTTATTTTAAAATATTCCTTTGAGTCCCAAATGTAGTTGGCCACTTGGCGTTTTTTCTAGAAATTCAAAGCTGAAGAAATATGTTTCATAGGGTTGTTTGAATGGGGTCAATGCAATGATTTTATTATTGAAGAATGTTAGTGGTTGGACAAAGATTTCAAGATTGTTAAATAAAGACACGATCATATTATTCTTTTAAAGATAATGTATGTAATAATAATCATTTTATTAAAATTAGAAAATGGTAAAGTGTATTAATGAAGCAATTATTTAGTATATAAGTATTTACACCAACCTTCTAATTGAATGAAAGAAGGGAAAGTTAATTAGTCAATCATGCTAACAGCGTTTCATTTCCTTTGATTTTAATTAATTAACATAATTACTTTTAAAAGGAGTTTAAATTTTGACTACCTCTTTTCTCGCAAACGTTAAAAAGATTTTGATCATGCCAAATAATCAAACCTTTCATGCCTCTGGTTTGACCATTTTCTAATGAGTAAACAGCATTTTCCCACCCAAGGTTTAGCGAGTCTTCATTTCCACCCATGGTTTCATAAATTACATACTCTCACCCTTAAATTAACACCATTACTTTCCTCTCAAAATAATAACCCCCATTTTTCAAAATTTTCTCAAATAACCCTTAAAGGAGATCTCGGCCAAGCCAAAAATCAGGCATGATTTCGACACCATTGGACCTCCTCGACACCACTGTTAACATCCCCTTATCCTCCTTATTAAAACCCATAACTTTTTCACCCGATTGCACCTTGACGAAGTGTTGGAATTTGCCTGGAAATGTGCGACAAAACACGAAAACCTAAGGGAGAGGCAGTAGTGATCAGCGGTTAATTGCAGTCTGCGATGTTAGGGGTTTTGATAGGGGGAAGTCGGTGATGCTATTAGTGGTGTTGGGGTGGTTTCTAGTACTAAGACCTGCAGGAATTTCAAATTTGGATGTAACGCTGATTGAAACTAAAAGCGAGGGTTAGCGATTGTAGGGTTCAATTAAGCGGGGAGGTTAAGGGTTTCGATGTGGGGGTTGAGGGGATTGTAATGGTGGTGTTAGGAGGGTTCGATTATGCCAGGAACATACAAGAATGACCTGAAATTGTCGATGGGGTGAATTTGAGAAGTCAGGGGTTTATTGAAATTTTCATATTTGAAATGACTAATTTCCTTTTTAATTATTAGATTAAACAGTTTTCTATTAATTTAAGGATGAGAACTGTAATTTATGAAACTATGGGTGGGAAAGTACATTCGCCAAACCTTGGGTGGGAAAATGTCGTTTACTCTTTTCTAATTAATTACATTATAATTATTATTATCATTCAACTAAATAGCAGTGTATCAAATCACCCGGAAGACTTGATCAATAGGGGACCACTCCACTCATCCTAATAATTATGGGGTCCATTCACTCAAGGACTAAATAAATCCTATCCACACAATCACATCACTTCACCTCTCTGTGGATCTCCTTATAAGATTTAATTTCTGTGATATTAAATATGCACACGTGTAAGCATCTTAATCATACATTGTGACGATGCAAGCCGTCTATTTCCATTGCCATCAACCAACCTGCCTGGACAAGCGACCGGTCAATAGATCAACGGTCGGTGAGCGGCTGATCTTACTAAACTTTAATTTGTAATAATAATTAATAAAAATTTAAGATAAAAAGGGTGGCTAAAGAAATCATAAAAAAATTGTAAAAAAAAGTAAAAGCACAGCTCCAACATTGTTGTACAATAGGGACCCACGTTTTTTTTAGTGAAGAAGAGAGGATAAGAAAGTAGTATATCGGGTGCAAGTAATGATGCCACGTGGTCCTAAGTTGATTGGGCTGAGTCGTGGTGGACCCAAAAGGGCCTGGAGGACGTGTCCTAAGAATGAAAACGCGGACAACTGTCCTTAAACGCGGTTGTATACATCATCCTCATCCGCTTAATCACAATCTGGTGGGCCTAATACTGCCAAACTCATAGCTACTATCCGTCTGTTCTTATCCACTTCCTAAATTACCCTTCATTAACCTTTGGATTTGTCGCCTTTATAAACCTATATTAACTCAACACTTGGAGGGCAATTTCGAACACCAATCAAATTTAAAACAGGTTTTTTACGTGTCATATTATATGCAATAAACGAGTTTGACACATGGGATTTCTCTTCCGGTTCCCAAAACGTGTCATATTACTGTACTATTTCCACTTTAATTCAACCAAAATATTTGGCCATACAGCTGAGATGGAAATAAAGTAAAGTAGGAAAAGCAGTGTAAAGTGAAAACAGGAATAATAAAAGAGCTTTTCTTGATTTGAGTAAATATTTTTGTTAAGAAAAGATAATGAACAGGCAGGGAAATGGGGGAAGGCCAATGAGTAAGTGAAAATGAGAGTAGTATAGGAAAGCGTGCAGGCAGGTGGGGTGAGTCATGAGTGTAGTCACCCTTATCTTTGTAGTACCCACGAGTTACAGTCTTGACCCCTTAACGAATTGATATGGGCCCAGTATCAACAATCATTGATGCTACGTGTCATTATCACAGTCCTGTGGGACACTGAACCACCACTATTACTCTCTGACTCTCTACGTTGTTTGTCTAAACGCTGCCGTGTGGATGGTTTAATTATTACTATGAAACTTCTAATTAGCTGCGACTGCATCCAGCAGTCTACTGTACTCTATACACTGCAATCAATGTGTCACACCATTTCATTTCGACTCAATTACTACTATACCCATTCTATTTTAATTAATCTGAACTCTGTTGAACACCTGGAAGCTCAAGTAGATAGATGACACACGGTGAGACTAATAAGGGCAAATTGGGGATGAAAAATGTATAGGTTGTTATAAATGAGTTGCTGGTTAGGAGATTGAGTTTACCACTTACATTGACCTTATCGAGAAATTTTATTAGTAACGGCTGATTCACAAAAGCTCAAGCGCTACACAGTATTACTAGGTGCTCGCACTCATCTATATTCTTCCTCTTACTTTCTTCTATATATTCTTCACTCTTTCTTTTTCCTTTGCTCTTAGCTCACAGTTTATATACAGAATAATTGATTTAGTAGCCATGGCATCAGATGAAAGTATGAATTTTGTTTCTTCTACGCAAGAAGATGAATATGATGATACTGACGATGGATTTTATCACCAACATCAAGTGCCCCACAACTTGTCTAGGCTGTCCATGTGTAAAAGCTCCATGTACATGAACGAAGATGAAGATGATGATAACGATGAACGCATGAGGATGTCTATGACAAGATTATCTATAGAAAGCTTTGATGGTGATGCTGATGAAGAATTCTCTGATGATAAAGATTTCAAAGGATTGGGTGAGCTGTCATCTGATTCAGAAAAAGAACCAGAGTGTTACTCGCTGCCAGCAACACCACCTCGCCGGAGAAATCGTAGTTCCATCGGTCAACAATTTATTTGTGTCAAAGATTATGCAAGTGAAAATGAAGTACAGAAGGGTGTGTTAAAACAAAAGATCAAGAGGAACTTGCGGAGGAGGAAGATCATAAGAGAAAGATGGGTGGATGTTAAGTTTAATAAGAGAGATGAAGAGGAGAACGTTATGAATAATTATGGGAATAATAGTTTGAGTGGGGAAAGTGAAGGAGGAGGGAGTGGTGGGGGTGGGGTGGTGGTAATAACTAGGTCAAAGGGAGGGAGAAGGTCGTTGTGTATGGATATGGAGGAAATGAAGGCTTGTAGAGATCTGGGGTTTGAGTTGGAACATGAAAGAATGTTGGAGATGCCTAATCGTGTTTCATTGTCTGGATCAACACTTGATACCAGCAGTGGAGGCAATTCTCCCATCGCCCAGTGGCGTATCTCTAGTCCTGGTATAGTTTTTCATTCTCTTTTCTCAGGCGCACACTTATCAGTAAAAGTTTTCTTCTTTAAAGTCCATCAGCATGTGAGTTGGAAATAAAGTTGAGACCCTATTGATAAAAAAGAAGTAAAGTGAAGAGAGTTGAGAATAATCATAGAAATTTTGTCTTTATTTTTTGGGTTAAAATATCATTACTTTTGCGATATTAGTGTTGTGGCATTGTCAAAAATCTAATATGATTGTAGAAAGATTATATTCCTGAGGTTCTGTGATCTGTGTTTGTGGGTGATTGATAGTATTGAATTTGTAATTAATTCAGGCGATGATCCGCGAGATGTGAAGGCTCGGCTGAAGGTATGGGCACAAGCAGTGGCGCTTGCATCTGCATCTCGACACAGCGCTTGACTATATATGTCTCTATTAATTGCCGGCTCCTAACTTCCTCTGTTTGTTTGTCGAAGAGTGTTACTTCTTTATTTTCCTTCCTACAAAAAGAGTTATTTTTGCAGGTCTTTCTCTTCATTTTTTCTTGCTTGGAAGACTAGCATTTGTTTTTGAGGGGTTTCCACTTCCTTTCTTCTTCTTCTTTTTTTTTTTTAAATTGCTCACTACAACCATACTATTACTCTGTAAATCTCTTCGCTTGTAAATATTACACGATCCCAACCAAGTTGGAGCCTTGAATCTTGATGATGGACTTGGAACATACTTATGGTGTACTCTTTTATTACCAAGTGTTTGTTGTTAGATTTTGATTAATTAGCACAGCTTACATAGGGATTGAGTTGTGTTAAGGATGTGTGTTGTTCATAGAAAGTGGGTGTCAATCGATTCAAAACTTAACATGATGTGATTGTTCATGTGGCATTTGTGAGCTCAACTTGAAGATCTGGGGTTTCAATGTTGGTCGAACCATACTATAAAACTACAGATTGTTTTGGTTTATCTTAAAATTATCCGAGCATCCTGCGTCACAGGCTATTTACTGATCTATATACAATAGATGTGCTNTCGTAAGAGAAAGATGGGTGGATGTTAAGTTTAATAAGAAAGATGAAGAGGAGAACGTTATGAGTAATTATGGGAATAATAGTTTGAGTGGGGAAAGTGAAGGAGGAGGGAGTGGTGGGGGAGGGGTGGTGGTAATAACAAGGCCAAAGGGAGGGAGAAGGTCGTTGTGTATGGATATGGAGGAAATGAAGGCTTGTAGAGATCTGGGGTTTGAGTTGGAACATGAAAGAATGTTGGAGATGCCTAATCGTGTTTCATTGTCTGGATCAACACTTGATACCAGCAGTGGCGGCAATTCTCCCATCGCCCAGTGGCGTATCTCTAGTCCTGGTATAGTTTTTCATTCTCTTTTCTCAGGCGCACACTTATCAGTAAAAGTTTTCTTCTTTAAAGTCCATCAGCATGTGAGTTGGAAATAAAGTTGAGACCCTATTGATAAAAAAGAAGTAAAGTGAAGAGAGTTGAGAATAATCATAGAAATTTTGTCTTTATTTTTTGGGTTAAAATATCATTACTTTTGCGATATTAGTGTTGTGGCATTGTCAAAAATCTAATATGATTGTAGAAAGATTATATTCCTGAGGTTCTGTGATCTGTGTTTGTGGGTGATTGATAGTATTGAATTTGTAATTAATTCAGGCGATGATCCGCGAGATGTGAAGGCTCGGCTGAAGGTATGGGCACAAGCAGTGGCGCTTGCATCTGCATCTCGACACAGCGCTTGACTATATATGTCTCTATTAATTGCCGGCTCCTAACTTCCTCTGTTTGTTTGTCGAAGAGTGTTACTTCTTTATTTTCCTTCCTACAAAAAGAGTTATTTTTGCAGGTCTTTCTCTTCATTTTTTCTTGCTTGGAAGACTAGCATTTGTTTTTGAGGGGTTTCCACTTCCTTTCTTCTTCTTCTTTTTTTTTTTTAAATTGCTCACTACAACCATACTATTACTCTGTAAATCTCTTCGCTTGTAAATATTACACGATCCCAACCAAGTTGGAGCCTTGAATCTTGATGATGGACTTGGAACATACTTATGGTGTACTCTTTTATTACCAAGTGTTTGTTGTTAGATTTTGATTAATTAGCACAGCTTACGTAGGGATTGAGTTGTGTTAAGGATGTGTGTTGTTCATAGAAAGTGGGTGTCAATCGATTCAAAACTTAACATGATGTGATTGTTCATGTGGCATTTGTGAGCTCAACTTGAAGATCTGGGGTTTCAATGTTGGTCGAACCATACTATAAAACTACAGATTGTTTTGGTTTATCTTAAAATTATCCGAGCATCCTGCGTCACAGGCTATTTACTGATCTATATACAATAGATGTGCTGCAGACCTTTGGAGATTTATCTATTCAAAACAAATTAAAAGAGATATTTGGTATTGCTGTCAGCCTAATTTTTCACGCTTTGGATCCTACCAACTCCAAGAATGTGTGAAGCAATTAAACATAATTCAGCCATTGAAAGTCAGCAAAAGAAAATTAAATACTAATACCAATACCAATACCTTGGTCCTTGACATTATTATTACCTATCCTTTCTTCTATAAATGAGTAGCTTGGTCCTGGACATTTACGATATTGTACCTACAATTATCAGCCATATTATTGTTACCCATAATTTCTTATGTAAAAGGTCTATTCATTTTTGGACAGGAATCATTATGAATGCATAATCGCATAATAGATGAAAATATGAAACGCTAATGAGATGTCAATAAATCACAACTGGGTAACAACCTCAAAAACCCCTCTCCTGATTCACTTTCTGGCAATACAACTCTAGTTATATGAAAATATTGAGACACTGAGAGAATACCAACTATGTAGGCAGCCGCAGAGAAAAACAAAAATAAGTGAAAAACATAAAAACATGTCTGTATTAATGCAGACTTGATAATACAATCATTAATCTCTGACTAAACTGAAACCCCATTGTGCATTTGGACATGTCAAGGATATCAAAGAGGCACTAAGCAGACTTAGGAAGGTAAAACTTAACCTTGTGGACTGGGAGATTGTTATGGTTGATTTAACATCACTGCAGAGGAAGACATTAGTTTCAGTCTAACACAGTTGAGATAAAGAGGAAGAGGAATTCAGTGAGGTGCAGCTAGTATGCAGAAAACTAGAAACTAGACAAAATTTAAGCTTCACTATTCTATTTAAAATCTTATATTATTTCAGATGAAATCATGTAACTATGCCATAATCAGACATATAATCTCTACTAATACATGTAGAGCAACGAGAAATTATTAAATTTTACTTTTATCATTACCCTTTTCTTATCAGTCAGCTCTCTCCTGTCATGTATAGTGCACTCGGATGGCTACAAACATGAGTTTACATTTCTCCAACTTAGAATTATACTATTGAATGATTTCACTAAAGATAACAATTATAAGTCTGACGTTAAAAAAAAAAAAAAAAAAGAAGAAAAAAACTTGCTCAATTTATGAAGGAAATTATAGGGGAATATGATACTGTTTTTCCATAATCATAATCATACATTGCAGAAGCTATGCAAGATTTTAGTGTTCTACAGATAATTTTGAGGCAGAGAAATAGAATTAACACGTAGGTAAGCCTGAGGAACCTCAATGTCCTATCAAGAAAACATAGACTTATAATCTGCTAGAACACAGAGGAAGAATGATTATAGCCACTGCTTCACATTCTTCAGCAATTAACAGCCTTATCATCAAGTTAATGAATGATACAAAGTCTACAAATGACATTTTGTTATAATGATTAAATGGCTTGGGCCCATGAATAATTTCTCACTCACTCACTTAGACACTAGATTGTGGCAGCTGTTGTCACAGGGGAACGGACAGTCAATAGCTTTGACAGCTACTCGATCAAAATACCAGTCTCCAACAGATTCTGCAACCCTCTGCATGTTGAAAATAAAATTAACACATTATATAATGATTTTCATGACACAACACGCATGTAATTAATTTCCTATTCCAATTATTCCTTTCATTGGATCATCGTTTATTCTCTAATGATTTTATACTATAAGGTAATTTTAACATGGTCCAGCAATCTCATTCCTAATTATCTGACTTATAATTGTAAATACATAAAAATATGTCTAATTCTCTTCCTTGCATAAGTTTATTCTGAGTAAAAAATGATGTATTATAAATTATATGCTTATCCACCCCCACTTCTTCTATCAAACCATCCCACTACAGTCAAAATGTAATGGAATCGAAGGTACTTCCAGCCATAATCGCATATTACTTAAGGTTTAAATATAAAAAGATTCACGTTCACAAAACTATGACTAGATTCATAAATATCCGTAGTATCATTCTATGACATTGCTGTTTGAAATAACATAAAAACTGGCAAACCTTTTTCTCAATAACAGGAGAATCATTAGCAAACCATGTATCCTGCCTCTCAGACTGGCAATGAGCAAAACAGGAATTTAAGAATAAGCCATTTTGGTTTGACTTCGAGAAGGTCTTTACGACATCGAGCATTTGATCCCTAAAGTCTGCTTCATACAAGGGTAAGAAGAAAAGAGAATATAGAAATTAATGCATGCCCATATTTAAATTTAGTTATTATCTGAAAATTGAAATTTTTGCACCACAGAAATAAATTAGAAGAGCGACCTTGGAAAAACTGGATCTGTGAAGAATTACAATGTGCAAAATTTAATCTGCATTCTTTCCAGTTGCCATCAAGATCAGCGGATGATGGAGCTAAACTAGCTTGGACCTGATGAACACAAATATACGTGAATCAATATAAGATTCAGCATTTGAGAGGCCATATGGTTCAGAAATACATGTGAGAATGTGATAATTAAATCAGTCTACATGCAAAGGGAGGGCACAAGCATTTCTCTGCTTGCTTAGAGGTCTTATGTAAGCTATGTCCTAAGTCTACTACTAATTGATTCTGAGTAGGCTTTTAGGTTTGATATTTCCAAGCAAAAAGGAAAGAAGCCAAGTCCAGTGAATGTGAATTAGGAATTACCTGCCATTCATCATATGCTGCATTGAGAAGAAACAAAGGGGTCTTGATGTTTGCGACTAAATTTTGAGGGAAGAAGCACTACAGAGAGAGTAAAGTGAGTCAGTAAACATATTTCACTGTTTGAAATCTAGACGTTAGTAAATTTCAATCAAGAAAAGCCAGATGCTTACCGAAGTTGGATCCAGCTGGCTGGTACAAGTACTTGGCAGATTCTTTTGTACTCCCTAATAATTCAGAAAAATGCTCAATAGTATAAAGCAGAAAAAGGGTTTTTAAAGGCTAGAAAGCACTAAGGACTTTTATGTTCAAACATCATCATTCTAACACACCACCTAATATTATTTCTATGATCAAACCCGTGATTAAAAAGCAAATGAGCAAAANGAGGTCTTATGTAAGCTATGTCCTAAGTCTACTACTAATTGATTCTGAGTAGGCTTTTAGGTTTGATATTTCCAAGCAAAAGGGAAAGAAGCCAAGTCCGCTGAATGTGAATTAGGAATTACCTGCCATTCATCATATGCTGCATTGAGAAGAAACAAAGGGGTCTTGATGTTTGCGACTAAATTTTGAGGGAAGAAGCACTACAGAGAGAGTAAAGTGAGTCAGTAAACATATTTCACTGTTTGAAATCTAGACGTTAGTAAATTTCAATCAAGAAAAGACAGATGCTTACCGAAGTTGGATCCAGCTGGCTGGTACAAGTACTTGGCAGATTCTTTTGTACTCCCTAATAATTCAGAAAAATGCTCAATAGTATAAAGCAGAAAAAGGGTTTTTAAAGGCTAGAAAGCACTAAGGACTTTTATGTTCAAACATCATCATTCTAACACACCACCTAATATTATTTCTATGATCAAACCCGTGATTAAAAAGCAAATGAGCAAAAAAACAAAAGATCAATAGAGAACTTCATGGCATATTTAAATTGAGTTTCCATCGCAGAAATTAAAAATTTTCTATGGTACCTGTAAGCTAACCACGCCTGCATACATATTCCTTAGGGTGCGCCCACCAGATATATCAACTCTACAGAATAAATGAAGATCGTCAGTGAAACGTGCTTACAGATTAAAAAAATGAATTTAAATGGATATCATAATTAAGATAATAAAGATTATAGACAATTACGCATCAAGGAACATTCCAGCATCACTTAGACATTTCACTTTAGTTGTTTTTGGAAATAAGTCCCGAAACTCATCACAATGAAGAATGGATGCTAGACCACCAGCAGAGCATCCAGAAAGAAGAGCCTGAGTAAATATATGCATAAAACAATGATAAAAATTCAAAAGTTAACTAAAATTAAATAGAAAATGAAAAAGAAAATAACATTTTAAATTCAAAACCTGTCCAGCATTTTTCATTCCCTTGGCCATTAAATCTTCCATTGCAGCTAACCAGATACGCTGTCCTCTAAAATTTAGTTGTGCTGCCTAAAACGAGAATCACTCAAAATAAGTATAATCAATAATGTCAGAGCCACAAAGGAACCCAAGACTTTACTTTAGCTGACTATAAAGAGATTCATTTAAAACAGGGGTGTTCGTAACGCCAACCCAAATGACTATGTTATACCAGTAAACTCATAAAACCGCTAAAGAAACATGCAGTTGAATAATTTCAAATTATAGCATATAGAAAATTACTTGTTGACATATTTCAAAAATATTAGCTACAATCTAACCACTAATTTGACGTGACTAGGCGATTTATGGAAAATTTTCTACGGTCTAAGTAAGTTAATGTATTTGGACAAACCTCATTTTGACTATCCCCACTGAAAGATGCTCCGTCACAGTAACGTAACCTAACTCTGTTCCAGTTGAAGAAATCTGAAAACATAACAAGGCCATCCAAAACGTAATGCGATCCATTAAGACGACGAGAAATGGATATCAATCTGACAAGTAAAAGCATGTGGATTTATAGAAACCAGGATTTTCTTCAGCTTTGTTGCTCAATATTCCCGTAAATGGTAATTGCTTCTCCATAAATTTTGACGAACCGCGACGAGTGGTTTTACGGAAGACACAACTTTTAATGGTATTACACCACCCACCTCCCTGCATCAATATAAACCACACAAATGAAAATAATTACCCTGAAAACAGAGTGCTAACATTAACTTTACCAAATTGAACTCAAAAGATTATATGATATGACTTATCACAAACCTCAAAGTGAATGAGCCAGTTGCTTGCACCTGATCCAGACCCCTGATGGAAATGATAACCAGGCAGCGTCCCGTCCAAACACACTGCCGCGTAATAAAACATAAAAAATAAAAATCTGAACTCAAATCAAAACAAATTGTAACTAAAAATCGAGAAGTAAAATATACCAGCTCCCTTAGAATCAGCTCCATGAATAAGAGTGAGAGGGACCATGAGAGGCTCGGAAGGAGAACCAGACGCCGCAGCATCGCTCTCTAAGTAAGAAAGCACACTTACTCCATCTCCGAAATCCGCAGATCGGCTCAAAACAAACCACAAACACAAAAAAATGCAAACAAAGAACGCACGCTCCATTCTGTTATTAATTTTCTTAGTTGAAGTAATGCTGAAGAATTATATAAATGGAGATGCAGCTATATATATGACCGTAGTTGTTACTCTGGTCTGGCGTGCCGTGTCAAATTCAACTAATTTTAGGACACTAAACAGTTGTTTTTTGTCATGGATGGAATCTCATTTATTTCTGGTTATTATTATTTTGGCAATGAAATAATAATGACAATTTGCTTTTGCTATTTGTCTATTGGGTAGTTTCCAGTTAGTCACTGACAACAGTTAAAAAAAAATCATTTAATAGTAAATTAAAAACACACAAACAAACCCATGTCAGGCGGTATATATTTCATGATGGGACTTGGGAGACCGTTGTAGTCTTATTTCGGCTTTTATTTATCGTGAAACCCGAAGCAACTACGGCAATATTATTTTTTATAGATATGTGCAGGGGTGAATAAGATGTCACATGGATAAGTTCAAACTACATGGGCTCATGAAATCATTTGTAGATTTGGATAGGAACAGCTATATAAAGTAATAAAATCCACCTTTTGATTTTTTTTAATTACAAATTAATTATTTTATGAATACCAATTGAAAAAAATTAAATTCTAAAAATTTAGTAAATCTAAAATCCCAATAAAAAGGAATAAAATTCATTCGGCTCAAAATTCGATAACATACACCCCCACTCCCAAACAAAAGTCTTCACTCTTCCCTAAATTCACGGCGACATTCACTTTTAATAATGGCAATTATCTGCAGCCTGCCCCATTCCCATACTCAGCAGTGGAGGAAATATGAAATACTTGCAAACCCAAGAAGATAAAAAGGGTTTATTGATACATTCTATTCCTTTACAACGGAACAAAAATTTGACTTCTAATAATAATTGCTGACTCACAGTTGATTCAAATATTGTGTATGCTAAACTCTAGATTAGTTTCATCCCAAATTATTAAACCTTGAATAATTAAACAATACCTATTAAAGTGAGCCGCTTGACAATTTCTCACCACTATTTTCTCCAAAATCATAATGATCGTACACTTGGAGTAGAAGTTCTCTACATGGAACAACAGCCCCCAGCTTAATACAAGCTAAGAAAGCACCTGAAAGCTTCCGATGAAGACTGTATGCCTCATCAGGGGGTGGTGTGAGCCTGTGTCTCAGCATTGTTGCCCCGAGGTTTGACATGCTTTGGGTAATGTTGGAGGCGCGGAAATCATAACCTCCAGGCTTTGAGAATGGCAATCCCACAACAAAACCTGCCTGCACATGAGTCTCTAACATTATCTCATTTTCCATTCCTGTTAGGAACCCAATTCTCCTTGACATCTCAATCACAGAATCTCTGTCACCATTTGCGCAGGCCAGAACCTAATCAAAGTACATGTGGAAACACATTGTGAGTTTAGCTCCAAACTGAGATATTTAAAACTACCAATTGAAATCCAAATTCCAACCATCTAGAATCAATTTAGAGACTAATGCGTAATCCACCAAGATAGGTTTATATTTCAACCTATCTCTCAGTCTGATGTCAATGCAGTATATGCTGATGCCACATCCCCACAGGACCAATTGGTAGCAGGAGCTTTTTGGCTAGACAGATCTATCATGAACCTAGATTGTTGGCCAATACTAATAAATGTGTACTATAGCTTATATCACTTGAACTCTGCAACACAGGAACTCAAGTGTTGAGGAAAGAGAATTTACCATTCTTAGATAACTATCAACAAAGCTTTTAGGATATTCTCGAGCTGCACCAAAGTCAATGAGATTGATCGTTTTTGTAGCCTCATCATATAAGAAATTACTCCAATTAGGGTCAGTCTAAATCAGCACATGCAAACAGAAACAAAGGAAAAATGAAATGGAACGTGAGTAATGGTAAAACTTTTTACTGGATAAGATCATACTGAAAACAGGCACAGTAATCATGACATCAACTTTAATTCCTGACACACCTCAACCACACAAGTACTTTATCCTCTGTTATTATGTGCCAAAATTTATCTAATTTTATAAAAGAAATAAGGGAGGAAAAATAGATAATAAGTTATTTGTTGATACAGTTTAAAGAAAACAGGGGCAGGAGGAGAAGAAAGCATGCCTGCATGAAGCGGTGGACAAACAGCTCTATTAAAGTGAGTTCCAGCAACTTTCTCCCAACATAATTACGAGTTTCCTGGTTTAGTTGTGCCACCTTGTCAATTGGAATACCTGTAGACAGTAAATAACACTTTTAACCATAAAGATAAATTAAAACATTTTCTAATTATATTAGGCTAATCTACTAAATATGAAAAATAGAAGGAAACACTATTTGAGGCGGTTCAATTGTGTCCATTACAGAAAAGAGCGATGTTAAAACTGACAATTAAATGCAAATCATACAAAATAAACAGTAAAGAAAAAAAAACACAAAAATTGTGAAATCAAGTGTTAATCCAGTTAGGCAACTTTAGGCCAACTCAAATTACATGCAATATGTGTAAGAATGTGGACTGCCAAACCTAGTACATATATACATAACATGTCGTCAGCATTCTGGTCTATACCTATCTTATGTATCCATGACTCCAGAGAGGAAAAGTGAGAAAGAGATTAGAAACAAAGCTGTGATTTGTAAATGAGAATTAGATTGAAACAATGATCTATCCTAAAAAGTTGAGTCTCCTATTTCAACACATATCACATTTATCGATCTCAATCCATTAGAAGTTCTCAATGGATCACAGATCAAAATAACTATTATACACAACTGCAAGAAACTGTCCTACATTTTGGATTACCAAAGATCAAAATACTACTGTTTTTGGTATCAGATAACACAGCCTCATAATTTAAGCAAAAGAGCAATATAAATGATATAGTATGACTACCAGAAACAAGTTCTGTAGTTAGAACTCTTTTGCTTGAAATATTCTCTACAACAATCGGAACATAAAACCCTTTCAAATTGGAAAGCATATCACGGAAACGTTTCTGATTGGCTGCCTCCAGTACATAGTCACATTCACGAGATAATTCTTCTCTAGCCACCTATGAACAAAAGCAAAAAATTTGAACATTTCAATAATAAATTTATCATATTCTAGAGCTTGAGTAAAAACCATCCGTAAATTTACATCATGTAACCTCCCATAATTGAGTATGCATCCTGTTCGTGAAACAGTACGTATATATATAAATCAGAAATCAATGTAGGAACAGACAAGAGACAAAGCTTCGTAAGCAAATCAAGCAATCTTAACAAGATTTGTGGACTACAGAAAATAACATGAGTTAATAAAAAATATAAATAAATCCTACCTAGCCGCTTCACATATGACATAATAACATTAACATATGACATAATAACATTAACATCTTACAACTATGCAAGCAGCACACGATAAATATGCAATTACGTACCTTCATAGCACTATCAAGATAAAGTCCCTTTGGAATTAGATTTGTATAGTCTAACAATATTTTTACATTCTGAATGTCACTTTCAATGCTATCTGCAACTCCAGGGTATTGAATTTTCATTGCAACCTGCATACCATCCTTTGTGACAGCTTTGTGGACCTACAATTGTTTCCACTACTGTGAGGTCAAGGTAAGTAATAGTGTTTCAAATATTGACAAATAATTTTTTTTTTTTTTTTTAAATGGATATCTAAAATTAAACCACCAACTACCATCAAAACTGAGAAAACAGCATCCTTTCTATGTTTTCGGACTCTAAAAACCTTAGAAGATAATTACATAGTTCAATGAAAACACGGATATGATGCATCACCTGGCCTATACTTGCAGCAGCCATTGGTTCATAATCAAAACTAGTCAACTTGGACTGCCAATCAGGACCTAATTCGGACTCCAAAACTTGATTCAGCTGCCACTTTGGCATTACATCAGCGCCTTGACGAACAATATCCAGTGCAGCTAAGATCTATAGAGAACAATGAAAGATGTCAGAACAATGGCAATAACTAGATGTTAATTGAAGTAGATAAAATAGAGATAACAAATTGATAGTAAAAATCAGAAAAACAGGATGAAAACAAAAATAGCTCACAGATCGTAAACCCAATATTATATATTTATATCGGAGCATTAAGCTGCTGTTGACATGCTTAAACTGCATCCTAAGATTTCAGCTCCATAGTTTATAGTTAGCATAAAGCTAGCGAAATGCAATTTTGAACTTCTTCAGCCATACATGCTGGTAGCTTATAGTTAAAGTTAAGATGTTAAAAAGAAGTATATAGTAGAATCTAAGAGAAATTCTAGACAACACTTAAAACCAATAAGATTCTTTTATAATAATATGTACTTCCATAATCAATTATACAGATAAACCAAGATATATATATTTAACCTACCGGAGCAGGAACAAGAGATTCATCCTGTATGCTCAACATCTGCCCTATCTTGAGCGCTGCTCCACGCATTCTACATAATGCCTGAGCTAAGCGTTCCGCATTTTTATCAGATAAAAACGGTGAAAGTGCTGATTGCTTGTCTTTTGAGCTTGGTGTACCATAGACAATCCTCTTGGTTGATTCCTGAATTGTTCCCCATGCAAGACCAGCTCCTAGACCAGCAAACCTTTAGAAGTTTTATAATGCTAATTAGGGATAATCTAAAGTTTATTTTCACATATAACAATATACAACAGCTTGAATAATGATTTCCCAACTGCCATAATTTAAAATGCCCTTTCTAAACCAATTATCCTCAAGCTTGAAAATAGAATTGATACCAAAGCCATTTCCCCAGAAACTAAAATTGATTTCTACTATATTTCATTCACTAACACAAATTAACCACGCAATGAGTTAATTACAACAATGATAATAACTACAAAAATTTAAAAACATTAATCATCAGAAACCAGTGGGAAAACTAACCCAATTAATCTAGAAAAAGGCGTGGAAGGAACTTTCCTTTCTCTCGGCCTTCGCCTCTTCTCTGGCGCCACCTGAACTTCTCCCCTAACATCAACATTGGTTTTAGGACCCATATTATTGGAATTACATTCTCTAACAGAATCTTCCTTCTCTACAGAATAATCAACAACCTCAGATTCCGATTTCTCCGAATCACAAGAAAGACCGCTAGTAGATGATACATATTCATCAACACCACATTCATTTTCATCACTCCGTAGTTGTTCCGGAGGAGCTGTCGTATCGGCCACGTCAGCATAATTATTAAAATAAACGACGGATTCTTTGGTCTTAGGGTTGGACACCTCGCGAACGGTTCCTTTCGTCAGACCCGATATGTCGGTGGCGGTAACTATGGCTTTTTTAAGTGATGAAGTAATTAGGGTTTCAAAATCTCCTGTTCTTGCACTCTCAATTGCTTGTGAACGATTGGCAATTTCTTTGGCCACTAATGAGACGCCGTTGACGAGCCTGCCGAGGTGGTTAACCCAACTCATTTGTGGCGCGCGCAAATTGTCTGCAATAACGTTTTGAAATTTGCTTGCTCTTTTTTTCGATTTTAAATTTAATCTACGGATTCTTGCAAGCGTTATATACGTGAAGTATAGAAAAATAAAAATAAAAACTAACGGAAACTTCGATGGTTGGGAACAGAGTGGAAGAAACTGGGCCAACGTGGAGCTTGTCCCATCCACGAAGTTACAAAGTAGTAGGCGGAGGAGTTGCGTCACAGTCCAACCTAATTGCCAAACTGCCCAATTCAAATTGAAATGTCAAGGCTTCTAAGCAAGCAGATAAGTTGGTTTAACTAATGGTAATGGGTCGAGTCATCAACCCAATACTATAGCTGGGCTCTGGAGGCCGAAAGCCTGTTTGATTATAGTAAATAAAAGAGTTTACTACTTTTTATTATTATTATTTTTTTTTAACAAAATACAATTTAATGAATTTTTTTACTCATAAACTTTTAAAATACTATTTTATTATTTAAATTTATATTCTAATAATAAACAGAGAGTAAACTCTAGACTATTGGAGTTTATGAAGAGAGGAAGTCGATGAGTCTTTTAGTGATGAAATATTGAATTTTAGTAGTTGAGATTGATTGAAATTAGATTTGAGAGGGAAGGTTACATAAACCCTAATCACTTGATTGTTGGTAATTAACGAGATCAGCTGGAGTAGGATTTGAGAGGTTTTGATAAGTGATAATTGAAAAAAAAAATAATGATAATAAAATAGTATTTTAAAAATATGTAGAAAAAAAAAAAAAGTCATTAAACTATCATTGAAGAGGAAAGGTCGTTTACTCTAAATAAAATATCCTCCCTAGTTGACAAAATACATTACCCAAATGCGGAAGTTGGAATAGTCCGCTTCTAGATCGTTACTAAGGTAAAAACTACAACTCTTATAAATCGAAATAAATAGAGCTTTAGCTTATTATCTTAAACATAATCGTCAAATACTAATTGCTTTTGTTTTTCCTTTTTCCCAAATAAAGAATGAAAGTCAAATGTCTCCGGGTCAGATGTTTTGAAATTTAAGGGTACGTTTGTTTTATTATTTTAGATATAATTTTAGGAATAATATTGGGTAGTTAAATAGGGGAGTACTACGAGGTAAAATTTAAAAATTTATAAAAAACCCCATAAGTATGTTAATTTAACTAAACACCTCAATATATAAAAATTTTGTAAAATGATAAAAACTCTCCCACCACCCACAATGCCAGATTCTAGCCACCACCGCCAGAATCTGGTCAGAAAATTGTGTTACACCACAGACCAGTGGGATCTGGGCGGTAGGGCGTTGATATGGCCTTTTCTGGCTAGATCTACGACGAATTTGGTAAAAAAAGCCTAGATCTACCGTCAGATCTGGCCGTTGACGACCGGAAAACTCTATCTTGGCCATCGTTGACTGTCAACGATTGCCATATCTTTGACCGTCGCTGATGGCCAAATCGATGAATTACCGGCCATTTCCAGTGGTGTTGTAGACCGTTGTGACAGATTTCAGCTACCACCGATGATGGTTGTCAGAATCTGGCAAGTATGGGTCGATGAGGGTGTTTTTATTAAATTTTAAACTTTGTCTGGGGGTATTTGATGAAATTAATAAACTGAAGCGGTCTAAAATAATTAAAAAAATAGACTAATATTTCTCAAATAATGTGCCAAACAATATTTGGAAAATAGGATTGAAAATATGGGTAGAAATAATAATACAAATCGGAGCCTAAAATACTAGCAAGAACATATGGTAATTACAAGAAAGGGTATTAAAATATAAACATGAAAAGCTTCTCCGTAACACGTACAACAGTTTGATTTCTTCAATACTAGGTCACTTAAACAAAAATCTGCAAATAGATGTAAGAAAGTTATTTAAAGAGTTATGAGAAAAGAATATTTGGCTGCATATCTGCTGACCAAGTCCATCATCAACGCATCGATTCGATGCATTGTCTGCAGATAAATATTTTTAATTTAGCAGAATCTGAAACAAATAAGCAATTTGCAGAAGGAATATTATATTCTGATATCAAGTTATACCAGTAATGGGCGTCGTGGTCTTATTCCATATACCTTTGATAAATAAGAATAAAACCCACTTATCCATAATCTCACCCATTACCCATTTCGCATGTATTCCCTGTCTTTTGACAACATTTGAAAACAAAGCATCATTCCTGTTAATTCAGAAATGATGATAAGAGGTGGACAACATGCATTGGATCACGTTGCATGATTTTTAAGTTGAAATTAAACAGCTTGACACTTGTAAATTAATGGGATGACAAAGTTTCCAAGTGCTCTTACGAACACAGAAAATGAGGGGTAACAGAAAGCAGAATTGAGTAATAGACAAGTCAGAATCATAATAAAGTGAGCCACTATGCTCTCCACATCAGAAGATGTTGATATCATTTCTCACATTTCTGAAATGGACGNTTTGCTTTATTTATCTCGAAATCGAATAATAGAATTGCATAATCGTCAAGTACTAATTGCTTTTGATTTTCCTTTTTCCCAAATAAAGAATGAAAGCCAAATGTCTCCGCGTCAGATGTTTTGAAATTTAAAATAGGCCGAACGTTATACCTACCCAAGGTTTGGCAAAACGATAGAGTAATATCTAAAAGGTTTAAAAAAGATAAATAGATACCTTTCATTAGTGAAAAGACTATAATGCCCTTAAAGAAATATTAGTTTATTTTTTTAATTACTTTTAAACCCCTTAAATTTATTAATTCCATCAAATACCCCAAGAAAAAAAGTTTAAAAATTAACAAAAACACCCCCACCCACCCATACTTGCCAGATTCCGACGGCCACCGCCAGTGGTAGCCAGAATCTGTCACAATGGTCTACGCCAGCACTGTAATGGATATGGCCGGAAAAGGCCAGATCTGACGTGAAAATGCCAGATCTGGTCGGAAAGTGACGGCTAAAGAAATGGCCGTCGTTGACTGTCAACGACGGCCACATCTTTGGCAGTCGTTGACGGCCAAAGATGGAGTGTTGCGGCCGTTGACGGCCAGATCTGGCCTTTTTCGACAATATCCGTGGTGGATCTGGCCAAAAAAGGCCAGATCGGTGAGTTACCGGCCATTTTCGGTGGTGGCGTAAACCGTTGTGACAGATTCCGGCTACCACTGGCGGTGGCCGCCGGAATCTGACAAGTACGGGTGGGTGGGGGTGTTTTTGTTAATTTTTAAACTTTTTGGGGGGTATTTGATGGAATTAATAAGCTTAAGGGGTCTAAAAGTAATTAAAAAAATAGGCTAATATTTCTCAAAGGGCATTATAGTATTTTCACTAACGGAAGATACCTGTTTGTCTTTTTGAAACCTTTTAGGTACCAATCTGTCGTTTCGCCCAAACCCCTTTAAAATACTAGCAAGAACAGATGGTAATTACAAGAAAGGGTATGAGAAAAGAATATTTGGCTGCATATCTGCTGACCAAGTCCATCATCAACGCATCGATTCGATGCATTGTCTGCAGATAAAGATTTTTAATTTAGCAGAATCTGAAACAAATAAGCAATTTGCAGAAGGAATATTATATTCTGATATCAAGTTCTACCAGTAATGGGCGTTGTGGTCTTATTCCATATACCTTTGATAAATAAGAATAAACCCACTCATCCATAATCTCATCCATTACCGATTTCGCATGTATTCCCTGTCTTTTGACAACATTTGAAAACAAAGCATCATTCCTGTTAATTCAGAAATGATGATAAGAGGTGGACAACATGCATTGGATCACGTTGCATGATTTTTAAGTTGAAATTAAACAGCTTGACACTTGTTAATTAATGGGATGACAAAGTTTCCAAGTGCTCTTACGAACACAGAAAATGAGGGGTAACAGAAAGCAGAATTGAGTAATAGACAAGTCAGAATCATAATAAAGTGAGCCACTATGCTCTCCACATCAGAAGATGTTGATATCATTTCTCACATTTCTGAAATGGACGGGTCACTCAATTCATATAAATTGGTTCTCAGAGCCACCATTGGTTGTTCATCAGAGCAGTTATAGTCATTCTACTAGTGAAGGTTATCGCACTACATTTTTTTTTTTATAAATTTTAGACTATATAATATATTCCGTTGCAGTGATTTTGAGATTATTTTATCATAGTTTTGTGGCTGATATAACCAGGCTTCATTGCTTTTATCAATCATCATTACATAATTGAAATCTGATGAATATGCTATCCTCTTAAAATTGAAGAAACAAGAGAGTTTTGTCTATAAATTGGAAGCTTTGAGTTTTTCTCTTATGATCTCCCATACATATGCCATAGAGGTCTTTCTTTCATTCTTTCGTTTCACAACGGGTTGATGGGTGGATTCATTAGTTTTTCATAAATCAAATATAACATACAAGACACTGAATTTAGCCCCAAAATTTCCTCTTACTCCGCACGGGGAAAGGAACTTGTTAAATCGAAATTTTAGTATATATTCTGTTCTAACCTTTCTTTCTTTCATTGTTGTGGAACCTTCTATACAGGTTTAGTCTTGACGATGGATGCTCTTGGGATGACCGCCACAGCTAATTATGACTGCTTGCTCTTTGGTACGTTATAATATGATTAAGAGCAGAATGAGTCATCGCTTTAATCTCAATTATCGTCAGTTTGAGCAGGCAATGGCAATAGCATAATGAGGCAATAATTTGTGAGGTTTAACATGTTCTGCAGATCTGGATGACACTTTATACCCGCTGAGTTCAGGCCTTAACTTGGCTTGCCGCAAAAACATAGAAGGTATAATGTAAACAAGAACTTGATGAGATGATGTTGACACTTCTTTGATTATGTAGCTAATAGAGTTGACGTATTTTGATTGTAGAGTTCATGCTGAAGCACTTGAATATCGATGAAAGAGATGTACCAAGGATGTGCTTGGAGTTGTACGGGGAACATGGAACAACAATGGCCGGTCTAAAGGTGATAGAGAATTTGTGCTAAATTCTTCTTTCTTTATTTTGTTCTCTATTTTAAGGATATTCTGTATTAATTTTCTATGGGTATGGGAATTCGCTTTCAGGCTCTTGGTTATGAATTTGACAACGATGAATTTCATGCTTACGTTCATGGAAAATTACCATATGAAAAACTGAAGCCCGATCCAGTGCTGAGGAACCTGCTACTCTCCGTGCCACAGCGTAAAATTGTATGTCTAGCTTTTCACCTGCTTCACTTAGACAGAAAATATGTTTTCGTCAAATACGGGCAATTCTGAAATATATATAGTTATTTTCAGATATTCACCAACGCTGATCAGGCGCATACAGTTCAAGTTCTCAGTAGGCTGGGGTTGGAAGATTGTTTTGAAGGCATCATTTGCTTTGAAACTCTGAACCCTCCTCCTCTTGAACCCGCTGATAACATCGATGCATTAAATGAAGATGCACTTCTTGCTGGAGATGAACAAGACCCCTATCTAACCACACACTATATCGAGGATAATAGTATCGGCTCCAAGGCAAGAATCCTCTGCAAACCCTCGCTGGAAGCTATGGAAGCTGCTATTCGGATTGCAAATGTTGACCCAAAGAAAACAGTAAATCTTTATATAACCTCAACTTCACTTGAAAACTTTTGGAAAATCATCAATAGAAATAACTTCATTTTCGCTCTTGCAGATTTTCTTTGATGACAGTGCTCGTAACATTGCAAGTGGAAAAGCAGCAGGTCTTCACACGGTTATTGTAAGCTCTGATTTTGTTCTGTAGCAGCAATTGCCTACTTGTATTCGTATATACCATTTAATTTTGCTCAGTAATTACTCTCATGGTTGATGAGTAACACGTGAGAACGCTTGTGCAGGTGGGGAGCTCAGTATTGGTGGCTGGAGCAGACCATGCCTTGAGCAGCATCCACAACTTCAGAGAAGCAATTCCTGAAATGTGGGAAGCCGAAGGAGGGCAGCTTCAACAGGTTATCCAGCCCACCTCAGTCGAAACCATAGTTCGTGCCTAGATGGTGGCTCATAAATTAAGTCACAGTCTAAGTTAATTCCGCTGTAAATTTCTACTTTTGTCACTCCAGAAAATCCAGAATTATTATTAAGTTGCTTTATATTAAGTATGCACTATGTATCCAAGCCAAAGTAACGGGACAAGGGCCACTAATAAATTATTAAAAAAAAAAAAGAGTTTAAAAATTAAAATTGCTACATTAGAGTTTCTATTAATTCGACGTGTCATACAATCGGAATTTGTGCACATGCGTTCAATCTAACAATAATAAATTCACCTCTACCATTAGCTCCTCAAGAGCATTGAAGGAGATACCCTCAACAAAAATAGGCCACTCTTCAGATGCATAATGCAATGCAAATCCATGCCCAGCAAAAAAAGTGTTATAATTTTTTCTTTTACAGAAAAAATTTTATTCGGTGGATGGGGGCCTGATAAAACAGGCAGATCAACCATCTATGGGTAGCTCGCCACAGTTAACAATTCTGCATGGCTTCCGAGGGTAATCTGACCTGCTGGTCTCTTGTGATTCGAGTTTACGAACAACATCTATTCCATCAATAACTTCTCCAAACACAACATGCCGGTTGTCCAACCATGGTGTCTGCAAAATGTAAATTAATAACATTATATTATACGCCAAAAACTATGGCCAGAAGTTAACCAAGTTTCGCTAAACCAATCACATTACATTAAGAACTACTTCAGCAAAAAATTAAAACAGACACATAACAGTAACCACAAGACTAGTGAAAATTTTTCGGATCAGTTATTAGCCCATTCATGTGTACAGACGAAGGACAATAAAAAACGGCTTTTAAAAGATTCTTCTAAAATGGCAGAACTAAAAAATTATACCTTTTTATTTTTTTGTTCCCCCTTTAACTTTACTTAAAACTCTTTAGAACTCTCTGCTAGGTTATTTAAATGCAAAAAAGAAAGGAAAATGGACTTTTCCAGCTCTTCAGCAACCAAAAAGAGATCTTTGGCTAGATGTCAAAAGATTAGAGCCCTGATCCATGTTCCTTTCTCTTTTACTACCTTTATTCTGTGTAACATGCCACCATCATAGCCACTTAGCACAATAATGTTGTATCATATCTCTCCATATGATAATTGAAGTGTGCCTGTATACTTATTATGAATACTATAATTAAGTAATCTTAATTAATTAGGAATAGCAAAAAAGAAAAAGAATCACAACATATCTTTTCAAGGGATGAATTTAGATATTTCAAAGGTTACTTGATGCGTTTGTGGAATTCGCATCATTACTAGATAACAAGATTTCGGATACCATGGTTTAGAAAGGATAACCAATTCGGCCTCAGTGTGGAAATAGTGAAACTAGAGATGTAGTAAAAAAAGGAACAAGGTAGCAGCTGCTATCTCACCTTCACAGTGCAAATGAAAAATTGGCTCCCATTAGTATTAGGACCTGCATTGGCCATACTCAACACTCCAGGCCCAATATGCTTCACTGCAAATAGTAACATTAATATATTAACTGTGAGGGTGGTTGAGGGAAGAAGCATTGGAGCACAATACTGAGAATCCCTACACACTTACAGGCAAAGCTTTCGTCTTCAAAACTAGAACCATAGATACTCATTCCTCCAGTTCCCTGAAGCCAGAGAAAAATAGCAAAATTTCTGCTAAGTGCTGTTGGTAAAGTACATATCTGTTAAGGCGACCACAAAAAGGGAGAGAGGGAGGTTCAAAGGACAAGAGCTTACATCTCCATCAGTGAAGTCTCCTCCCTGAATCATGAAATCTTTGATAATTCGGTGGAAGGAGCATCCTTTGTAACCATATCCTTTTTCTCCTGCATGAAGATTTTGTATAGATCTTTTAAATGCACAGCCATGCAAGAATTAAAGAATTACTCCAAATATGGGATAAATAGTGCAAGCAAAGCTTACCTGTGCACAAAGCACGGAAGTTCTCAACAGTTTTTGGAACAACATCTCCAAAAAGGCCCATTACAATTCTACCAGCAGGTTCACCTCCAATGTCTACATCAAAGAAGCACTTGGTTGTCACTTTCGCTTGCAGCTCTAGATCCTAAATCACATAATCATGTAAGTAATTTAGACCTAAGCACATAATCACCACATCATTAAAACAGGCTATAGGAATCCAACATTATTATATTTATTCTGTGAAACATTCAGATTAATTTCTTAAAAGAAGTGATAAAGCAATTATAAGTATCATTGAAATATTCTTTAAGCATTATGATTTAACAAAAGCACCAATAGCAAATAGAAAGAATCACACAATTCCCGTTCTTTAATCATGCCTATAAAAATTTGTCTAGTGTAAAAACTGAAATACACGCAAAATGGCAGTTACCTATATATGGTAACTTTAGATTGAGACATATTGCCTAGCATAAGAAGTCACTGGAAAAAGGTATTTTGTCTATCTTTCGTTCTTTTTAATTTATTGCCAAAACCTATAAAGATATTAGAATTTTTCTGTCAAAACTCTCTCTTCAATTGCTTTGGAAAGGCTCTGAAGATTTTCAGGACTGAATTACAAAAACAAGTAGATTGTTTGAATTACTAACTTTTGCAGTTGCATTGACACACATCATTCTCCAGCACTTCACACAAGGAGCTTTAGAAAGCTGCATTACAGGGAGGCTTGATGCATAGTGCAATCTTGATGTCAGTGTTCTTCCTGAAGAGCTCAAAGTCAAAGCTGGGGAGTAGCATGACTGTGAATTTGTAATGGTACACATCATATGTGGCACTCTCACATTTGAGACATCTTGTTTATAACTACCCTGCAGGTTGAAACCATTACACAAATTAAAAGAGCAATCCCCAACACAAATCAAGCATTAGTAGAGTAAATCTGAATATATAATGTTAGTTTATGCAAGGAACCTCACGTAGGACATCAAGTTTCATCATTTACTTCCACTTGACATCATTTGACCAAGGATTACAATACACATTGGCAAGATCCGTCTTAAAGCTAGGATAATTGTTTGCAACAACAAAATTCTTTTGTCATTAGCACTATGCAAGTGGGATGTGCCAGATGCATGAACCTTATCTCCATTCTAACTTCCTTCTTATATATTACACATTTAGATAGCACGTGAAAAATAACATAAAATAGATAAGTTCTTCAATGTTGACTTTTCTTTCTTGGAAAGTGATGGATCAGCTGGAATTTTTACAGAAACAACAGTATATTTAACTTTTATTTGTGCAAAAAACCAGTAAAAAAAAAAAAAAAAATGCTTGGCCCCAGAGATTATGCTACTTTAGTTGTAAACTAGCTTAAAAAGAACAGTTTACAGATAGCACAAAAAAAAAAAAAAAAAGAAAAAAAAAAATCAATTTGTAGGGACTACAATAATTAAATCCCATACATGTGCAAACTGTGAAGATAACTAAAATCAAACAATATCACCGCAAAGCATGGAATACAGAGAAAAAAGATGTATCTCCCAAGTAGGATAGCAATTAAATAATCGTTATCCTAATAGTAGTCCAGATATAATCACTAATCTAATCCTAGGACAGCTAGATTCATTTAATAAAAGAAATGGCTGTCCAAAATTCAGGATTGACTTGCATTAGATACTCTGAAAGATACTACAATAATGCAATTGAACTGATATATGTCATCTCAACATTGGCTTGCATTATTTGACCCAGGACTACAATACACATTGGCCAGATCTGTCTTAAAGCTAGGATAATTGTTAGCAACAACAAAATTCTTTCTTGGAAAGTGATGGATCAGTTGAAATTTTTACAGAAACAACAGTATATTTAACTTTCACTTGTTCAAATAACCAGTAAAAACAAAAAACAAAAAATAAAAAATGCTCGGCCTCAGAAATTATGATACTTGTGCTGTTAATTACGCTTGCAAAGGACACTTTACAGATAACACAATAATTGAATCCCATACATGTGCAAACTGAAGATAACTAAAATAAAACAATATCAGTGCAAAGCACGGAATACAGAAAAAATAAATTTATCTACTATCTACACGTAGGATAGCAATTAAATAATCGTAATCCTAATAATAATTCAGATATATTCACTAATTTAAAATAAACTTATCAATATTAACAAGCCAATAACAATGAACTGGTATAAACAAAACACCAGAGAGAGATTTCCATCTATTGGGTGCTCGTCAACAAGTCCATGAGTTTTCAAGGAGCTAGCATCACTGTGGCCCGAGGTATCTATCAATATATATAATAACTATTTCTTATTTCTTTCTGTCTATTTTGGGTTTCCAATGCTTCATTTTAGAATAATCCATGTAGAGTGAAGGGTGTGAGGATGGAGAACTAACCTGGAAAATGAGGGCAGGGTTCTGCAGCATTTGCATAGAGAATGTGGAAGCCATAACACACAGGTTTTGTCGTAAGATGAGAGTGTTCTAGGCGGTTTTGGTTGTGGATAAAAACTGAATAGTAAATCGAAAGTTGGGGTTTTGTGCTTTATATATTAAGTTGGATTGGCGTTGTGTTCTCCGATGAGGTCTTCAAAATAATGAAATATCCGCCATACCCGAGACCAGCCCGGTTACATGCTAAGCATCGTTCTTATATTTTCGGCCCATTTGTATGTATTTCAGGCCTAGTTAGGCCCGTTTCAGGGCCAGGGCGACCCGATCTTTAAATTTAAAATGTATATTCACTCGATTTCTGTTAAGTACTGTCTATTTGAAGCATATATATTTTCTTTAATTTTACAAGGAAAAAAAATTTGAAATTGTTGGTTACGTGTTCTATCTAAACTCGAGTTTTCAGAGGGTCCACGTTGACGGAAGTACAATTGTAGATACAACATCTGACACGTGGAAGGCCAGATGTCCATGACATTCCATTAACGACTCTGAAACATCTAAGCCTGTTTCTAAATCTAGCAACGAAATGTGGTTGCGGTGGACAAAATATGCGTGCCTATCCGCTCTCACTGCACTTCTCTTCTTATCCTCTCTCCTTCCACGCTACTGCTGCTTCAAATTTTTCTACAAAATTTTTCCTCACTTCTTCGATTCCCAAGACCTCTGTTTATTCCAATCTTCTTCTCTGCCAAGTCAAAGCGAAACCCAGTAATTGTTCTAACAATGATTACAGTTTATTAGATACCGATGATGATGATGATGATTATGTTTTGGTAGATGAGGGCTCAGAATCGCTATCTGGGGATGGTGTACATATCGAGATAAAGAAGCTTGGGAGAAATTCGCGGCGAATTCGGTCAAAAATTGAAATAGCTGCAAGTCTCGACACTGTGTGGAATATATTGACAGATTACGAGAAATTGGTTGACTTAATTCCTGGTCTTGCTGTCAGTGAATTGGTTGAAAAGAAAGACAACTTTGCTCGTCTTTATCAGGTTTCGTTTCTTTTCTTATATCTTTCTTATCCAGTTTTGTATATCATTTCTTATTGTTCAATTTTGTAATAATATCTTTTATTATTTGATTTCTTATTGTTTATTTTAAATTTGGTCAATGAAATTTTGAATGTTGAATTATGATTGTAACGATAATTCATGCAAGTTGAAATGGTTGTTGCTGTTGGGACTTTAGAGGAGTTTTATTGTATGAGTGACAGTGGAGTTCGATTTAGGAGTGTTTTGGTGTTGCTGTTGGTCTTTTACTCTTTTCTGGAGTTCATATGCGTCTTTTGTTTGCCAAGGACATGATAAGTTTCCTTGTATATTCTTTATTTTGTTCACTGTGTTAAATTGTTTACAAATTCAAAGAGGTTAGACATAGGAGAATGCATTAATTGGCAAAAGAATCCAATTATAGAAATCATTCATACCAATGTGGGAAGGAACACAAGCTCCTCTGACCAGACTTTGTAATCAACTTCATTAGGAAGTCAGGAAAGCCATTAAACAAAGAGGAATGCCATCAATGTTTCTTCTTTTCTAGAAATCCTACTGCTATGATTAACATGTATCTTTGTTAATTGTTGGAAAAGGGCTACATAGGTCAGGAATTATTTGAGAAACTTTTCTTTTTACAAGAGAGCATCAGAGTGTTATTTATAATGTTTTGAGACTGGGTTGTTAATTGCCTAGGGACATAGAGTCACTTTTCCTGAGAAACAGGTGTTCTTTAATAATTTAGTACTAGGAATATGCAAACATATGAATAAAACAACATATGTCTAAGAATATCATTCTTGAATACCCTGTTGCTGTTTAGGTCCATCTAAGTAACACGTCAACTTCTAGATCTAGTGTAACTTAGACATGGCTTCATCTCTCTGTCTCTCTAATTGTAGAGGTGTGTATGTCTGTGCTAAAACTGCTCACTTGTGTTTGTGGATGTAAATGCTCACACTTATAACTGGAATCTAATTGCTTTATGTGCATCATAGTAAGTATTGGTTTGTGACTGAGATTCTCTCCTAACTATTAATTACTTTTGTCCTTTATCTTGGAGTTTATCCTGATAGTACATTCTTTCAACAGATTGGACAGCAAAATTTGCCATTTGGGCTGAAATTCAATGCCAAAGGAGTTTTGGATTGCTATGAGAAGCATCTTGAGAATCTTCCCTCTGGGAAAAAACGTGACATTGAATTTAAGATGATTGAAGGTGACTTTCAATTTTTTGAAGGAAAGTGGTCTCTTGAGCAGGTAGGAAATTTTTTTCTACAGGTTGTCCAGAACAGTTTGAATTTAAATTTTGAATTCTGCAAGCCACGACTTTTATTTATATAATATGTGGTCTGGATCACACACAATCACTGTTTTTGTAAATGGCATAGCTGGTTCCAATCAGGAGAACCATTATTTAAGTGTGAATAAGGTGTAAAAATTATGGTTGGGCTACTGGGTGAAATGTTGCACGTTTTAATTGCAACTTTGTATGTAGTCAGCCAATGTGATAACTATGTAATATTTAAACAGAATATTTTATGCTTGACAGAGCTTACACTATTTATACTTGAATGAGATTTAGTGTCTTTTTAGCAGCTAATGGATTAAAAAATCTGATGGGTTGTGCAGTGCAGTGGAGGAAAAAGCAAAGAGAGTAGTTCCTCATCAGGTCAAGAACTTCAGACTACTCTCTCATATTTAGTTGATGTAAAGCCAAAGCTCTGGTTGCCTGTTCGCTTAGTCGAAGGCAGACTCTGCAATGAGATAAAAAGTAATCTTACATGCATCCGGGAAGCAGCACAGAAAGTGATTAACGAGGCTCTGAATGCTCATTAATCTTATTGGCTTATTGCCCAGATAACACTGACATCTTAGTTTAATAATGGAAACAATAATGTGATTTGATTGCTAGTCAAAGCTCTGCCTCGGGTATAATATATTCTGGATTCAGTTGTTTGAAAATTGAGAATGATAAGAAAGGGATTCTAGTGAGTCCTTTCTTTTTTCAAACAAAAAATAGTAATGTTTTTGGTTATCTTTGGACAAGCATATAGTTTTGTATGGTGTCAATTGATTACGGATGAAATACTTGAATTATATTATGGGGAATCATTAAAGATTCAAATTTCAAAGTAACTATGTACAGCAGTACAACTTTATCTAAAGTGGTGTCACGAAGCCCAATATCATGGGATGGGTTCCGCAATCTATGGTGTCATAGTGTTGGCACTGTTAACCCAAGAAAAAAAACTGAGGTGAACAAGAGAATGGACCAGTAGGGAGAGAATTTTTCTAGCATTTTATGGAACAATTGTAGGGATGAATTTGCAATTTGAAAATTGACAATTAATACAAATCCAACTTGTGTAATTTTATTCGTACAACAGGGAGATGCTCCTGTTTATCTGTTGGCAACTTTTCTACGTCTTCTTGTAGTCCCGGTTGCATTGACAATTTTGGCATCCTTCAATTGTCAAAAGCAGCACTGTCTCAATTGTTAGGATCAGCTTCAGCTTATCCACATTTGCATTTACTTGTTTTTCATTGAAATATTAGCAATGAGATAATGTAGGTGGTGAACAATCTTGTGGATTACAGTGAAGTTGAAGCACGCTCCTGACAATCAAGTGTAAAGATTTCCTATCTGTTTTTGAAGCCACTAAAAGTGAGAGCCACGCATTTGACTAAAATTGGGTTTTGTGGATTAGGTCTAGATTTCATCATTCATGGCTGCCCTATGAGTTGTCACGGAGCGGAGACTGCGGGAGTTGACAATAGTAAGAATGTGAAAACTGAGATCATAAATTTTGTTCTTTTCTACAGTTTGATAACACACATTATAAATCACAAACTCCTGTCTCTTCTTCAACTACTATATGTAAATTGTAATTGCTTTATTCTTTTTTATTCATAGAGTATAGTTACAAATCCACATGCAAAGAACAAAATCATGGGAATGAGATTTCCATTGTTTCTGGCTAAAGAAATGATTCATATGGGTTTTGATGATTACTCTTTTGGTGCCTAATGCTTCCGGTTTCATGATCATTTAATGTGATGATTTCGCATGTGTGATGTGATTGGAAAACTTTTCAGCAGTAGGGACTCCTCGGCTATAGAGCAAAACCCAAAACCCTCCAATTAAATATTTATTCACAATTATTAATCATGATCTATACCCACATAATTGTCAAAACCTATGACCTTTTGGCAAGTAATAATCAACTAACACAACATACATAAGTGGATTCGGAAAAGAGAACTGATTCACCTTACAAACCAAATAAAATAAGAAAATAAAAATTCTCCACTTTGATTTAATTACAATCAATTAAATATGTCATCTCAATTCATCAACTTACTGCCAAAACTTAATTTTTTTTTTTTAATTTAATTAATGTTATTTAGTTAGAGAGTGGTTTGGAAGGTTGTGAGAATCAAATTAGACTTTGTGAATAATTTAATGTTTTTTAATTACCATTCCTGACTTATGGTTTTGTTTGTTTTAGAAGGTTTGATAGATGAGGTCTTGGGTGCATCCCCTCAAATAATATTAAATAAATTTGTGGGCTTAGACTTTGGTTGGAGATGCCCACTTCACCCACTTTTTCTTAAGAAATGTCATTATTCTGTTGAAGATCTTGTTAATATTTAAATCCCCCTTTCACACAAATCTTGATAAATAATATTAATATTATTATTACACGTCTAAATTAATTTATTATTAGCGTTGAAAAACAAAACAAATGGGTGATGATGGTCAAGTGGATTTGGTTAGTCAACAATATCAAGGCAAACCCCCATGGTGCTCCTGCCATTCTCTCCCTTCCTTTCTTTCTGCATGTTAGCCACGACTATGCCCTGCCAAAATACAAAACAAAACCAATTTTTAAATTAAGTGCTGGCCATGTATGGCCATGACCCATACCCATGGCTTCATGTTGCATACCTGCAAATGCAAAACGAGAAACATACTTATAATAAGAAATGCATATAACAGTTAAAATTTAGTAAATATGATCCATTTATGAGGTGGGTCCTTCATGGATAAATTGAAAAAAAAAAAAAAATAATGGATGAAAGGTCCTACATTATATATTTGAGAAGATAGAACAACTAATCTCTAAGGATTTGTCTAACGGTCAAGAATATTTATTCCGTTTCTTGAGCCACCAACCACAATTATATTGTGATTTACCTGATTCTTTAGGTTTATAAGATATTCAATGGATCCGAAAACTAACTTGTAAAGTGTTTAATAGACTCGTGAACTAAATGAGGTGGGCACAAACCCAGACATCCCGGTTAAAAAAAAAAACGATAGAACAACTAAATGTGGCGTATATAATATGCTATGCATGCAACATCATGTCTAAGCTATTTATGGATACAATTGTTTTATTTATTCATCATTTTACACCAATTTTATATTAAAATTACAAGTTGTTGCATTAGTTTTCCAAACACATGACTTGTTTTTTTATTTCTGTATTTTGGTTAGTCAAAACACGTTCATATGATAATATCTAATAAACTATTCATTAATTAAATGTTAAAAAAAAAATTGTGAAATAGTGGCAGTGTCACAGCTTTCATAAATTTCAAGGAAACTTTGTATAAAAGTTTAACTTGAATCAATTAATAATCATAAAGTTATTGTGGACCAACGATGGGTTTAAAAATCATCAAGATATTAACAAGTTAATAGAATCCGTAGATATAGTTAAACAATAATATTGCTTAAAAATATATAATATAATAAACAAAAAAACATTTGTGTTTTTAAAAGATGAAAAGATTAAGGGATGAGTTTAAAATGAAGAAATCTAATAAAATAGATAGATTTGATTTTGTGGATTGATTACAGTGATTAAAGAAATAATGAAAGAATAATTTAGTAAAATAAAGGTCAAAATTAAGGAGATGCCCCACTCATCTAATTTGATTGATGAGCATGATGATGTGCAGTACCAAATTTATTGACTCCAACAGCACCAACATACCACCAATCATTTAAAAGAAAATTAGAAAGACAGAAAAATAAAATAAAAAAACAAATAAATACTATAAACAGTCTAAACATTTCAACGTAATTAAAAATTTTGTTTCTCTTTTTCTTTTATTAGTTTTTACCCTCCCAAACCATTTGAAAACCCCAAGAAAGAGACCCTCCTTGATGAACTCAACTTTGATTCTTCATCGTCATCATAAACCGAATCTCAATTTTTTGTTTTTTTTAAATAATTCAACGAATAACTACATTTTCTCTTCTCTTCTTCTATCTTTCTACTCTCACTACAGACTTCATTCTCGCTACTCATTTTGTTTCTCACTCGAAATCCCTTTTGGGTTTTCTTGCTTAATTTTTTCAACAGTCGTGTATGTGTGCATGATTCAGTAGCGAAAATGAATCGGTTGTTTGTATGGGTACTTTGTCAGATTCCATATAAAATCTAAATGGGTTATTTTTGTTGTGTGTTTGTTTTTATCTGATGTGTTCCATTCGTTCACTGTCTTTTATCGCTTCTTAGATCTGTTTACTGGGGTGCTCGATCCACTGCTTTATTCATGCTTAAACAGTCATTTCAAGGTCAGATCATTGCATTTCACTATTTGTATTCTTTGTTTTTGTTTTTGTTTTTATGTTCTATTTATCGGTTCAATTATGGGAAATTTTGGTTTGATTTGATCAGCTATAGTTTGGGGTTTACATTATTTTAGTTGATGATGTGCTGTTATTTGAGTATTCATAAGGTGGTTGAGGGGTTTATTGGGTTTTTGGGATTTTATTTGAGTTGTTTTTTGCTGTTTTTGCTTATGGTGGAAAGTCATAGAAACCCTCCACTTCAGAGGTTTGGTTTATAGGGGTTTATATTAGTAGAAAAATGGGTAACGGCACTTCTCGTGTTGTTGGTTGTTTTGTGCCATTTAATGGTAAAAGTGGTGTTGATTTGGATCTTTTAGAGCCTCTAGACGAGGGTTTAGGCCATTCATTTTGTTATGTTAGGCCATCTATTTTCGATTCCCCTGCCATTACCCCGTCCAATTCTGAGAGGTTTACAGTTGATTCGAGCACTCTTGATTCAGAAACTTTAAGTGGGTCGTTTAGGCATGATTCCATAGATGATCCTTCAGGTCTTCAGAAACCTATTAAGAGTTTTCCCGAGACTACATTTAAGACCATCTCGGGGGCTTCTGTTAGTGCAAATGTTTCTACAGCTAGGACTGGTAACCAGAGTGCGTTATTTGCTAGTGATGCCCAAGAACCTGCTGCATCATTTGAGAGCACTGCTTCATTTGCTGCAATCCCATTGCAGCCAGTGCCCCGTGGCTCTGGACCGTTGAATGGGTTTATGTCTGGACCTCTTGAGAGAGGTTTTGCTTCGGGTCCTTTGGATAGAGCAGGTGGTTTCATGTCTGGTCCAATTGAGAAGGGGGTAATGTCGGGTCCTCTCGATGCTAGTGACAAATCCAACTTTTCTGCCCCACTTGCACGAGGGCGTAGAAGACCTCGCTTCCAACGTTTTATGAGAAGTGTGAGTGGACCAATGAAAAGCACCCTTTCCCGTACCTTCTCAAAACATACAATGGGATCTGGTTGGATGCAACGGTTTTTTTTGCATCCAGTTACGCAATTAGCCTGGCATGTGAAGGAGGCTAAGTTTCGAGCAGAAGCCCAACGAAACTGTTTTGAAGGGGGGCCATCAGAAAGTGAGTATGGGAATAGTCGCAACTTGCAGTGGGCTCAGGGGAAGGCTGGTGAAGATAGGGTTCATGTTGTACTTTCTGAAGAACAAGGATGGTTGTTTATAGGGATATATGATGGTTTTAGTGGCCCAGATGCACCGGATTTCCTGATGAGCCATCTTTATCGTGCCATAGACAAGGAGCTGGAAGGATTGCTCTGGGATTATGAGGATAAACCTTTGAACGATCCTCCACAACCTGGACATCCTGAAAGTGGAAATGATGGGCCTTCTGAGTGCATTAAGAAGGAAGGATCAGACTCCTACTTAGATAATGTAATTTCTACTAGTCTAAATGAATCATGTAACAGTTCAGGAATTGCCCATGTTCAATCATCTTACTGTGAAATAGTTGAGGATAGTGGTGAAGTTACAGGTCATGTTCCAACAGCTAACTTAACTGGTCAAGGCAGAAAAAGCATGCGGCTTTATGAGCTACTTCAGATGGAATCATGGGAAAGAGAAGGTTCTGTTTTGGTTTGTGAGGTTGGTCATGAAAGAAAGGGTTTATCCGATTGTCACCCATGTTCTAATACTCTTGGTTCCAGGGACTCTTTGAACCTGAAAGGAGATGTTCCTGGCCATCATGATGAAGATCCCACTACATCAGGAGGAGACACTGGGGCTGGGTCTGAATCTAATCAAGGCTCCATGGATGGTCCTTCTGTTTCTGAGCAAAGGCAGAGTACGAGGAAGTCTTTAATCAGTACAAAGATAAGAAAAATGTGTCGGAAGCAGAAGTCCTTGCGAAAGAAGCTTTTTCCTTGGAGTTATGATTGGCACAGAGAAGAGCCTTGTGTCGATGAAAGAATGATGGAATCCTCTGGACCTATTAGGAGGTGTAAATCTGGAGCCATTGATCATGATGCTGTTTTAAGAGCAATGGCACGTGCACTTGAAAGTACTGAAGAAGGTTACATGGAAATGGTGGAAAATGCTTTTGACACAAATCCAGAGCTTGCTTTAATGGGATCATGTGTTCTTGTGATGTTAATGAAGGATCAAGACGTGTATGTCATGAACCTTGGGGATAGCCGTGTGATATTGGCACAAGAAAGACAGAATGACCGCCACCCTAACCCATGTTCTTTGAAGGAAGACATGAAACATAGAAACCGATCGAGAGAGTCATTAGTACGCATGGAGCTTGACAGAATATCTGAGGAGTCTCCAATGCATAATCAAAATTGTCAGGTTAATATGATGAACAAGAATAGAGACATTTCCATCTGCAGATTAAAAATGAGGGCAGTTCAGCTTTCAACTGACCACAGCACAAGTGTAGAAGAGGTTTGTTTCTCACTTTACTGAAATTTTCCAATCCTATTAGCACTGCATGATCTCTTTTTAGAATTTTTATTTTATATCGTCAACTGCAATTTTCTTTTACCTGATTTATCTTATTAATCAGTTAGCTGTGATTGCATTTCAGTCAGTTTTTTTATTTTTTTATTTTGATGAGATAATTGAATGCATTACAAGCATGATTTAACCAATTTTATGTTTTCATCAATTAGTATTGTTTGACAAATAAAGGGTTCTCTTGTAGTGGTTTGAGTTTTATTATGTTGCATAAATGTGTCAACAATTCAGAGCAAGTATTACTTTCAAATCACCTTGAAGTGTTTCGTATCATTACATAACATATGTACAAGGACTTCATGAGTTATGAGTTATAGACTCTGTGTTGATGCATGATAAGTGGTTAGCCATTTGTTAAACTGTGATTTATTTCCTTGTAGGGTTGTTGTCTAGATGAGTCACCATGGTACTGTTGAATACATTAGTGCTACTTGATGTCTGTGAATAAGCCAGTAGTTTTGCTGATCAGTTTTCTAGCATTTTTGTTGTCACTTGGGACAGTGAGATGTTTGTTCCTTTTATTTCCCTTTTATGTTTTATAAATAGTTTATGATTTCTTATTAATGTTTAGGTATATCTACCTTTTGCTAATTGTGTGTTAGGGATTCCTCAATTTAGTACTTCCTGTGTAATTTTTCACTCACTCATTTAAATGACATGATGTCTTATATAAGCTATCCTAATATAAGAATTTTGCAAAACTAAATGAAATTTCACTAGATATTTGATGTTTTAATGAAAAATAGTTGGAAAAGAGAAATCATAACAGAGTTTCTTATGCATATTCCATAATTTAGGATTGATCTTGCATCCTTTATTGATATGACAGGAAGTTCTTAGAGTAAGAGCAGAGCATCCTGATGACTGCCAAGCGATTTTGAATGATCGAGTTAAGGGGCAATTAAAAGTCACAAGGGCGTTTGGTGCTGGGTTCTTGAAGAAGGTTGGTTGATTTTGTAACTTGACAAATTTCCTATGAAACATGTAGCTTTTTATGTTTAATTTGTGTTCTCTATCTGATACTTTCCAAGGAATCTTTTTTTTGTTTGGGACGTATGCCTTCTAACGTCTTTTCCTTCTCTCTCAAGGTTTTGCTTCATATCTTTTGATCCCTTGCATGAGATTAGAAAGAATCAACTAATAGAGAACATAGAAGTTTTATCCAATTGGTCATATTTGATATTTGCATACAGTTACACATTTATGTATGTGACGACATATTGAAATTCTGTGTGTATCTCGAAATAGGAGGTAGTTGGGATATCTGATTACAAAAACTTAAGCAGTGATAAAAGCAGTTCTGTTTTTCCAAGTTGAGGAAGAATTATTGTTTGTGTTGTTTCTCTTCTCTCTCTTACTCTTTCTTATTGCTAGCAACCTCTGGTAGTATCACCAGTATTGTTTCAGCATTTAATTACTAAAAACAGAAACTCAATATTGGTTGTGCAATTAGATCTTTATGTGTAGTATTTCATTGTTGAAAATTCAGAGTAAGACATGTATGTTTGATGTTGTACATTTTATTGTCTGATTTAAGGCTCTGTTTATTCTTTAAGAATTAAATATGGCTAAGATTTTTCCTCAAATTACTTGTATTTTGGAGAATCTGGAGACATAAGATGAGACACTCAAACAATTGAGATTATGTATCACTAAGGGGTGTCTAGTGCATCCAGTATATCCCTTTGGTAACTTTGAGCTTCTATTTTCACGTGGATTATGTTAGTGGTACAACTTGTGTTCTTTATGTACTAGGTTTTTTTTATTTTATTTTTTTGCCATTCATGTAATTGATCAATCTATTGCTAATTTAATATCTTGGTTGCAGCCGAGTTGTAATGAAACTCTTCTGGAGATGTTTAGAGTAGACTATGTGGGAACAGCTCCATACCTTAGCTGCATCCCTTCCATTGTTCACCACCGGCTTTCCTCGAGTGACCGATTCCTAGTACTATCCTCTGATGGGCTTTACCAGTACTTCAGTAATGAAGAAGTAGTTGCTCATGTTACATGGTTCATGGAAAATGTCCCAGAAGGTGATCCTGCCCAGTATCTCATTGCCGAGCTTTTATTCCGTGCAGCAAAAAAGAATGGTTAGTTAAATTTTCTTCTTTCTTTTTTGATTTTAAATCTTTTGCTCCACAAAAATTGAAGGACGTATGCTCTTTTTNGGTTGCAGCCGAGTTGTAATGAAACTCTTCTGGAGATGTTTAGAGTAGACTATGTGGGAACAGCTCCATACCTCAGCTGCATCCCTTCCATTGTTCACCACCGGCTTTCCTCGAGTGACCGATTCCTAGTACTATCCTCTGATGGGCTTTACCAGTACTTCAGTAATGAAGAAGTAGTTGCTCATGTTACATGGTTCATGGAAAATGTCCCAGAAGGTGATCCTGCCCAGTATCTCATTGCCGAGCTTTTATTCCGTGCAGCAAAAAAGAATGGTTAGTTAAATTTTCTTCTTTCTTTTTTGATTTTAAATCTTTTGCTCCACAAAAATTGAAGGACGTATGCTCTTTTTTAATGGTTTTTGTTGTATGACTGCAGGAATGGATTTTCATGAATTGCTTGATATTCCTCATGGAGATCGACGTAAATATCATGATGATGTTTCTGTTATGGTGGTTTCATTGGAGGGAAGGATTTGGAGATCATCAGGATAACATTTTTTCACATATGCATATTTGCCTCAACAATGTAACCACTTCAAGCAAGGGGTACATGTATGCATTTTGGAAATGGGAATTTCAACATTGACATTCTTTTTTATCTCCCCTTAAATTTATTTTTTTATAAATAGAATTTTCTTTCCTTTACCCTCCCTTCGATTTTAGATTATTATGATTTTTTCTACATAAGGATGATTTAATCCATCCAGAAGATGGAAGGTCAGTGCCTTAAATCGATGCAAACCTAACATTTTAAGTTTGTTATGTAAAGCGTGTGCAAATGTGCATAATCAGGTATTAGTTAAAAGAATGTGTGAATTACTTCAAAAACTGTGCGCTTAGAGTTAGATATCACACCGAACTATCTCCCTTGTTTGGAGGCCTTTCTTTGCATACTATCAGTCTTCGCAGCGTTTTAAATGTTTGATTGGAACATTTTGATGTAAACATGGGTGAAAATTGTTAAAAAAAAAAATCTTAAATTTATTGTTAAAGTGATCATTATCTTCTTCAATTGACTTAAGGGATTTAACTTAATTTTGATGTCAAGCGCTGAAATGGATAAGGCAACGTAAAAGGCAAGAAAAACGAAGACCATGCTTGTGAAAATTCGGGAATGTTTTTGTCATTTCTTTTACTTACAGAAATTGGTGGAAATGGAGACTTTAAAAAAGATTTGTACAAGTCTGCAACTGTAACGAGAGTCGACTGTTCAACTACTTCAACTAAAAATGCTTGTAAAGCAAAACATATTACCATCTTTACGGTAATTATATTTTGTCGAAAGCTAATTTAACTGGATAAAAGCAAAAGTGTTTTGAGGCGGTAGCTGCACTGTCCCATCATCAAGGGCCCATTTTTGGTGGGTGATGCAAACTGGTCCTGGTCTCTTTTTGACTTTATAACAAATCAAATTCCATCTTCCTGTTTCCATCTCTCACCAAACCATGAATGCAACAACAATTTGTTAACATGTAACGTTACCTCTTTATCAACACGTTTGATCATTAATATGGCTGGCATATATGTCAAATNAGAACTTTAAAAAAGATTTGTACAAGTCTGCAACTGTAACGAGAGTCGACTGTTCAACTACTTCAACTAAAAATGCTTGTAAAGCAAAACACATTACCATCTTTACGGTAATTATATTTTGTCGAAAGCTAATTTAACTGGATAAAAGCAAAAGTGTTTTGAGGCGGTAGCAGCTCTGTCCCATCATCAAGGGCCCATTTTTGGTGGGTGATGCAAACTGGTCCTGGTCTCTTTTTGACTTTATAACAAATCAAATTCCATCTTCCTGTTTCCATCTCTCACCAAACCATGAATGCAACAATAATTTGTTAACATGTAACGTTACCTCTTTATCAACACGTTTGATCATTAATATGGCTGGCATATATGTCAAATTTCTACTTCTCATTAATTTATTTAGTATGCTTTGTGTTTAAGTTGAAGGTCTCTACTCTCGTCCATGCTTGATTATCACATCACTCAATCTCTCTGTGCCACTGTCAACCATTCTTTGTGTACATAAATAGGCTGTTCCCCCTTCTCTTTCTGCGCTCAAACCTAACCAAATCATCTTTTCCTTCTTGTCTTGTCTGCCAGCCAGCTAGCCATTTCTTTTCATCATTTCTAAATATGGCTGTTGATAGTATTTTCAAATATTTACTAATTTTTAATATCATAGCTGAAGTTGTTGCAAATGATGCCGACCTGCTTCAGGATATTTGTGTAGCGGATTCAACTTCAGGTATAGTAACACTTTAATAATAAATTTCTCTAGTTTTTTGAGGGCATGGTTTATTATTATACTTTGATGATCAATTTTCCCGCTACGTTTGTTATAGGAGTTAAGGTGAATGGATTTGCATGCAAAGACAGTGCAAATGTGACGGCAGATGATTTCTTCTTTGGAGGCCTAGCCAACCCTGGAGTGATCAACAATTCAGTCGGGTCAATTGTAACAGGTGCCAATGTTGAAAAAATTCCAGGGCTTAACACTTTAGGAGTGTCACTGTCGCGCATCGACTATGCACCCGGTGGCCTCAACCCACCTCACATCCACCCTCGTGCCACTGAAATGGTATTCGTGCTCGAAGGTCAATTAGATGTAGGATTTATTACTACTGCTAACAAGTTGTTCTCCAAAACTATCAAGAAAGGGGATATCTTTGTCTTCCCAAAAGCTCTAGTTCACTTTCAGAAGAATAATGGTGACACTGCAGCTTCAGTTATTGCAGCATTCAACAGCCAATTGCCTGGTACTCAATCCATTGCAGCCACATTGTTTACGGCTACGCCAGCTGTGCCAGACAATGTTTTGACTAAGGCCTTCCAAGTTGGAACCAAGGAGATTGACAAAATCAAGTCCAAGCTTGCACCCAAGAAAAGCTAAACAAGCCTCCCAGAATAAGCTTTAGATATATCACCTATATATTTTTTGTGGAAACCTTTGTCTCCATCAGATAAAATATATTACATCATGCGGGCTAATTGGGATATGTAATATAAATGAATATTTGCAATAATATTTTCATGTTTATATTTGATCCTTGAATAAACTTTCTGGCACGGTTATCCTTTCAGAATGATAATTTCAACTGAATACATATTTGTGCAAGAACATAACGGAGCTGTAATTCTTACGGACAGTTAGTCGACGGTACCAGCTCGATTTGGCCATAGCCGATAGCATAGAATTGGTCATTGAATGGAGTAATTGTTCTCAGACACAATGAAGAATTTAAAACAAAACTAGGGATAATAGCCTGATTTTTGCGTTTGACATTCTAACCATTATTAAAAGGGTTCTTTTACCTTAGACTTCACATTTTTACACAGAAAATAACAAAATTATATATGAGTAGAAACAGTAGTGGATCTAGGAATTTTTTTTAGGGTGGACCAAAATAAAAATTTATTATACATTACTATTTTTGTCCATTAATATTTTTATTAAGGTGTGTTAAAATATATAAATTATACATATTAATATTAAAAAAAAAAAAAATTGAGCATGTCATGGCCCACAAAAAAGGTGGCTGGATCCGCAGGTTGTTACCTCCTTGAGATTCAAACGACATGGAGATTAAGTTGGTAGAAATAGACTACATGTCGTCTTTACCAGTTGTTCGGAGGATCACTAACTGTGGTTGGGCTTGATTAGCCTAGCCCAAACGAAAGAGTCTTGGGCTGGGCATTACCGTTACTAAAAACGGTGCGTTTATCGTGGTACGGTATTATGTGGATCTTGAACTGAGTTGAAAAAATTAAATGGAGAATTCGAATTCGATGCAGCAGCAGCAGCAGGAGCAAAAGCAGAAGAAGAAGAATTTCCGGAAGAGGAATATCGAAGAAGTAGAAGATGAAGAAGCCAAGAGCAAGGTTTCAGATGACGAAGAAGAAAGGAGGTAGTTGAGTCTTTTTAACTAAAGTATTATTAATTAGGGTTTTCTTTGGTTAACCTAATGATGTTTTTTTATATTTTATTTTTAAATGATCAGGTTGGCATTGGAGGAAGTGAAGTTTCTTCAGAAACAAAGAGAAAGAAAATCAGGAATACCTGCAATAACTAGTGCATTGCAAAGTGGAACGGTTACAGGAAACGGTGGTGGCTTAACTAAAGTTGCCGAAAAGAATGAAGTAGATGGAGAAAAAGATGAGTTGGTTCTTCAAGATACATTCGCTCAAGAAACAGCCGTCATGGTTGAAGATCCCAACATGTAATTACTTTTTTTTTTTTTCTTTTGTTGTCACTCTTATTACTTGCTCTTTCGATTTATTTTATGCACTATGTTAGACATGGCTGATTGATACCGTTCTTGCGTAAAAGTAATGGATTACACGAAATTAATTGCAGTTTGTTAATGATTCTTACTTGTCCTAGACTATCCAAGTTTGTTGGTAAGAAAATTATATGTATGAAACAATCATGAAGACCCTTACTTTCTTAACCATGTTGACTCTGCGAAGGAGATTTTAAACAGTGTTTGTTAATAGATAAATCGTACTGTACTTTTTTTTTTTCCCTTCTTCCTTTTTGGGTTATCATCAGTATTCGCTCACTCTATCGGATCTTGTTGGTGTCTGAATTTATTAGTTTTCTTTCTAGGGAATTGCATGGCTATTGCTGGTTGTTTCTTACTTCTTTGTATGTTTTTTCCTTTATTTAACAGGGTGAATTACATTGAGCAAGAACTTGCAAAGAGAAGGGGCAAAAATGTTGATGTGACAGATCAAGTTGAGAACGATTTAAAACGTGCTGAAGATGAATTATACAAAGTTCCGGAGCATCTTAAAGTGAGTGGTCTGGTTGATGTACACACTCATTTTAGTTCTTCATTTCCTTTTCAATAGATACACCTATCTAAATCATTATGCTTGGATGGTGTTTCGTTGAGTGTAACAGTCTAACAAGAATTGGATTAATGGAAGTTTACATATTTCAAATCCTACCATTTTAGTATCTGATTCAACATAGACTGGGATTTTGTTTTAATTCTAGCTTCTAGTCACATTAGTTTAGATTCAACATATTCTATAGTAGTGTTTGCTTGCTTATTAAACACATTTTCATTTTGAAGTATTTGTTTAGTCATTAGCTTTCAACACAACATATGCTACGATTTTTTCTGAAGTATGGCTCTCGAAACTTTGTGTAATGGAATAGTGTTATCAGTGTCTGAGTGAAACTTTTTGTGGAAGTCCTTTCAAAGTTTAATTTCAAACTTCTTAATTGTTTCCTCTCAGGTGAAGAAACGAAACTCAGAGGAAAGCTCTACTCAGTGGACCACTGGGATAGCTGAGGTTCAGCTCCCCATTGAGTATGCCCCTTTCTTTTCCTTATTCTCTTTTTTGGTAGTAGAATTAATTGCACTTTGATTTAATCTTCTTTTATAACTATATGTGAAAGTTGCCACATCCATCAAGGAGAAAGCATTTAGCTTCTAGGCTTTTTCTTGGCTGGCTTGTTTGCATCACTGCGTTGATGACAGACCTAATGCTTATAATCTTATTAGAAATAAATTTGGGTGCACTGTTGATTGTTCCTGTGGTTGCAGATACAAGTTGAAGAATATTGAGGAAACTGAGGCTGCCAAGAAGCTTCTACAAGAAAAGAGGCTCATGGGCAGGACTAAATCGGAATTTAGCATTCCCTCAAGTTACAGTGCAGATTATTTCCAACGTGGCCGGGATTACGCTGAGAAACTTAGAAGAGGTTGCTGATTGTTATTCTTTGCTTTTAATCTTATAGTTAGATTCATTTATTCAGCTAAGCTCATCTTCTCACCAAAACTGGAGGTCAAGGGCCAAGTTACTTCAGACTTGAGATAAATTTAGTCATTTGATAGGACTGTTTATTGTATGTGCTTTCAATATGATTTTCCATTGACGTTTTTGCATTTCCATTGTTCATTGATTTTTGTGGTGTCTTTTGAGATATTATTTATTCTGAATTTCTTATTGTGTATGAAAAACTTGCAGAACACCCTGAGCTATACAAGGACAGAGGTTCACAGGATGATGGTGCTGGAGCCAGACCAACTGATAATGGCACTGATGCAGCAGGAAGTAGGCAAGCTGCGACAGATGAATTCATGTTAGAGCGCTTCCGCAAACGAGAACGCCACAGGGTGATGCGAAGATAACATGCACTTTATACTTGTAGAATCTCCAGCCGGACATGCGAAGATAACATGCACTTTATACTTGTAGAATCTCCAGCCGGACTAATATGTGAAACAGTATGTGCTGGTTTGTGTCTTATGATACGCTACCCCATGATTACTTGTGGCTCAATGTAGTTCTGTTAGCAACACAAAAGGCTTGTTGCTGCAAAAGCTGTTGCCGCTATTGACTGTTGTGATGTATCGTGTAAATAGATTTTAGAAGCCTGTCTAGCTATAAGGTCATGTAATGTCACTTAAAATTTTCTCAACGGGCTCTGAATCTATTGATTGTTTTTTTTTTTTTTTGGGGGTGAGGGCTATACATGGATGGTAGTAGTAAGTGGTGGAGCGTAGTTATGTTTTTCGATTTAACATTTCCTCTGTTTTGATTGGTTGAAATTGGAACCTTATAGTGTGTTTGATAGACGAAGAGAAACTGAATTCAAATTGGAACCATTGGGCACCAGTGTCACAGTGACTGGAGGAAGGAAATAATGGAAATGTTTTACTCCAGTTAGTCAGATCGGAGAAAGGCAACAATAAATGGTCCGATTCTGATGCTTGGAGAAAGAAATTGAAAGCAAAGAAGTTTAGATGGGCAATTATGCAATATATCATTTGACAATCTTTTGCGCAAATCTTTGCCATTGTAAACTTTCTACAAAAGAAAAAACAAAATTAAACTTGAAGCAGTATAAGATTCAATAAATGGTTACATTGGCATTGAGCTACATATAATCCAATCTCTTCGGTCATTATAAACTTACACGAACTTGGTGGGCTTCATCGAAAACTGCTGAAAGCCCAACCTAAACAACACTCGCATTTTAATATACAGCGGGGTTTAATAACTTTTAAAATGGGGAAATCCACTTAGAACTTAGAAGACTTGAAGAATTTAGTAGATATCCATAAATTTAGAATTGAACATTGCTTTTGAAGGATGGCCAAACTTCCAGTTGGAAGGTACAATGTTAAGAGCCGTGACGGTCTTTCTATTGCGAGTTGGATTTTGAAAGACAAACTCTGGCCATTGAGATAAGCATAAACTCTGCCAATTTGCACCCCAGTTCTTGACATGACTTGCCATTTACTCATTTTGGACCCTTTGACCCAAACATTAGAGATTTCTCCAGCTCCACCTACATTAGCACTAACTCAAAGTAATCCCTTCCACTGATGGTGATCTGATGCCTTCGCTTCTTTTGCATCCACTCTGATTAAACCCCAGAAGAAACCTTGTTATTCAGAGATTCTGTCTGAATAAAAAAAAAAAAAAAAAAAAAAAATTTAGAATGTGTAACTCAACCGACTTTTTGTAAAGAACAGGTACAATTCCAGCTCTATAAATGGCGATGGACTCAAATGCAGGCTGAGCCATGTCAAAATGAGGTCCCGGAGGATTGCACCAACCGCCATTGTCACTTGGGAGGTCATAGTTTGGAGGACAGAAGTTTGTAGCAGTAATAGTGATATATTTGCCTTTGCGGCACCATTGAGGCACCTGGGTGGCGTTGCAAACTATCTGATAGCATCCACCGCATGACTTGCCATCATTGAACAAAGCCGTACTCAACGCCGCAGTATTTGTACCATAACCATCTGTGTATAGATTTCCGTAACCACATGCACCACCTGATATATTGAAACCATAAGGGATAAGTGAATTGTAAGTTTGTAATTGAGTTTGACTAGTTAACTAGTAATCTGTAAGTGAGCTGAGCTCTGTAAAAGGAAAAACATGAAATAGCAACTTACCCATTGTTCTTGAAGCATCACTTCCACCATAGAAAGTTGCAGGGGCTTTCAACCAAGCAGCGGATGCTACATTAAATTTAATGGAAAATAGTATTGAAATGAATATAACACTACAGAATGCGAAGAGCCCTTCCATTCTCTATATCTTATTTTCCTTTTAAATGAAAAGAGCTAATAATAATGGGATGATGAATATGGCGGAGTGGGCGGCACCTATTTATAATAACTGCCATGGGTAAGCGTAGTTGTCTTATGATTTTCTGTAATCAATACATCATTTGCGTTACCAAACTATGATAAGTCGAATAAAACCAATCGTTAATCTTCAAATGATAGATATATCCATTCGCCCATTGTTTAAAAAAGATTCGCAGAATTGATGCATAAAATACGTAAGATAACTGGTCATTCAATTACTCTTAATTATTGAGTCTGGAATTGATTTGATGATAATATTGTTTATAAACATTCCAGGATAACCGATAAATACAATATTTTAAATAATGTAATTAGAATGTAGACAGTTGCATAATATGATCAGTTTTCTTAATATCTTCAATTTGATCCGTGGTACATTATGGTACAGTTGAGCTGCAAATAATAAACTAGAGCCATTAATTGCCATATCAGTAATGAAACTAAACTAACTACAATTATAAAGAAATGGATAGAGAATTCAACAACCAAAATCGAAGTCAGCCCACTTTAGTTGTAGTAACATGCAATAGCAATTCTTATGCAACTACCCTGTCTTGTTTATCAAATATAGAGTAACTGATAAGAAATAAATGATTTATATATAGAAGAATATTATGATAATTTAAGAATGAAGGCTTTGATTATAGTATATTCAAGAGTCGTATGCCATATATTTTGGCATGTCTTGTGGGACTTCCACGTATTTGGCACATGGGTGATGCCAAATAATTAACTATGAACTTCGATTCAAATGGTGTAATAAAATCTCAGTAACATTGATCTTATACCTCTACCAACCACGTTGATTTCCTAGTACGATAACATTATTTGTGTTTTAACTCACCAATTACCAACAAGTAGAAGAAAAAACTTGCAGCTTCTGATCTTATGACCAAGAAGAAAGGAGGTATATAATAATGTATTTGATTCAGATTGGAGAAGTTTAATCATCACAAACAGTAGTGGCTTAACTGAAATAATTGAAAACAATTAAGCAAGGAGATGGAGTTAAAGAAGAATTGGCATTCATGGTTGAAGATCTCAAACCCAAGCATTTACGCATCCTTGAAAAGTCTCAAGGTCACCAACATATTCGATTTTACAATCTCACACAAATATTATATTGTTCTTGTAAAAATTAACCTTACACAACTTGGTGGGCTTCATTGCAAACTGCTAAAAGCCACAACCTACAAGCAACACTCCGCATTTTAATATACAGCTGTGTTCAAAAAACAAAAACAAAAGTACAGAAAAACACAAGGTAAATTCACAAGTCCGCTAAGGAAACTGGACGAATTTCAACAATCCTGGATTTAGAATTGTACGTTGCTTTTAAAGGATTGGCCAAACTGCCAGTTGGAAGGTGCCACGTTAAGAGCTGTGCGGGTCTTTCCATTGCTTAGTTGGATTTTGAAAGACAAGCTCTGGCCATTGAGATAGCTTAAACTCTGCCAATTTGCACCCCAGTTTCTTGACATAGCTTGCCAATCACTCATTTTGGACCCTTTGATCCAAACATTAGATATATCTCCAGCTCCACCTACATTTGATATTAGCACTAGCTCAAAGTAATCCTTTCCATTGATGGTGAATCTAATTCCTCCACTTCTATTGCATCCAACTCTGATTAAACCGGAAGAAACCTTGTTATTCAAAGATAGAAATGAAACTGAAAGATATGAATAAGGCTAGCTACATTTATCTAATTGCAAATAAATTTAACGAGGAAGAGAATGTAAAATTTAACATACTTCCTGTAAAAAATAGGTACGATTCCAGCTTTATAAATGGCAATGGACTCAAATGCAGGCTGAGCCATGTCAAAGTGAGGCCGGGGAGGATTGCACCAACCGCCATTGTCACTTGGGAGATCATAGTTTGGAGGACAGAAGTTTGTAGCAGTAATTGTGATATATGTGCCTTTGCGGCACCATTGAGGCACTTGGGCGGCGTCGCACACTATCTGATAGCATCCACCGCATGACTTGCCATCATTGTACAAAGCCGTACTCAACGCTGCAGTATTTGTACCATAACCATCTGTGTATAGGTTTCCGTAACCACATGCACCACCTGTTGAAGCCATCAGAGATGAGCGAACTGAAATAGTAAATTGTAAGTGAGCTCTATAAAAGGAAAAGCATGAAATAGAAAATTACCCATTGTTCCTGAAGCATCACTTTCACCATAAAAAGTTGCATTGGCTTTCAGCCAAGCAGCGGATGCTACATTAATTTTGATGGAAAATATGACTGAAATTAGAATAGCACAAATGAAAGCGAAGCGCCCTTCCATTCTCTCTATGTTTTTTAATTACCTTGTCCTTGTAAATCAAAGGAGATTAGTAGTTTGATGATGTAGGGCTCACCTATTTATAGTAACACTACGGCCTGGTACGCGTAGCTCTTACTATTGGTCTTATGATAATTAATTAATTAATTAATAATAATGTATTTGCGTTGCAAAAGTATGCAAATTGAATGGTAAGTTGACTGCAACCAAACCATTCCTTAATCTTCAAATGACAGATATATCCCATTTGCCCATTGTTTTAAAAAGATTCGCCTAATCGATGCATAACACAACTGCTCATCCAATTACGCTTAATTATTCCATGTTCGTTACTTTCGCGATTGATATGATAATAAAATATTTAAGAATATATTTATGTGTTCCAAATATAAAATGCCATTTTTGGATATTATAGAAATGAACGAAAATCTTAAATTAGTATCTGGAAATAAATAATTGCGATCAATTTTTGCCAACAAAATATCTCTAATGGCCCTGATTACGTTCTTCATTATCGGTAGTGGAAAATGGGGTGCCGTCGAATAATATTAGAGAATATAAGATAGAGAAGCACAAAGCTTTCACACCACATCTAACTATTAGAGAATATAAGATAGAGAAGCACAAAGCTTTCACACCACATCTAACTATATAATATTTTAATTCAAGTACTTAGAATGTAGACTGTTGGTGGTGTGTTTTCTCCGTAAAATATTAACGTGACATAAGTTTACTTTCCTTCCAGTTATAGGATCCGTGGTACGTTATAGTACAGTTTAACTGCAAATTGCCAACTTTACAATAAACTAATGCTAACTCAACTAATAAGAGGATTCAGCAACTGAAATCCAAAGTCAAAACTTTATAATAATTTTGTAGTCACAATAGCAATTCAAATACAACTACCATGTCTTGTTTATTAAGAAAAGTGAATATTTTATAACGAGTCAGCTTTGACATGAGTAGTATTTTACTTTTTTTAAAGAGTATTCTGCCATATATTTTGGCATGTCTTGTGGGACTTCCATGTAATCGCCACATGGGTGATGCTATCTCTCATGAACTCCCACCCAATCAATTATTTTCACATGGGATCACATTGTTGAATTCAATTGCAATTGCACTATTGTTGAATATTTTTTTTAGAAAAAAATAAAATTAATTTGCTTTCTTATTGGCCTGCCGCAAAATTACCAACTTTCGTCAATCTCCGTAACAGTGATCTTATACCTTCCACCGGCATTGGTAAATAAAACTTAAAATCTTTGATCAACCAGATGTTTGGCATTTGCACGCCATATAAAAGCCCTCCCATGAGAAAAACTAGAGAGTGATAAAATACCAAAATAATTATCTAAAATGTTTATTTGCCCTCTTCTATGATACATGAATGCTGGAGTTGTTATTTCGTATCTAGTACAAAAAGCAAATGCAGGTAGGTAGAAGAGACATATATTCATTGACAACTGACAAGATAAAATTGATCAAGATCCAGAATCTAATTTGCATCACAAGTACCTACACTTCGGTAAATATATTATAAGAGTAACCTAAAGTTCACAGCAAAAATTTTCAACAACAGCAGCAAGACATCTTGTGTATAATGTGGGAAACAATCAATTCATTGTATTATTACACTTGAACAAAATCAAATGTTTCTATCTATTGTTAATGACAAAACATGGGCAAAGAAAGACAGCATGAATCAGCCAGTTCAGTTACCTGTTGCAGAATCTGCTGCCAGAAACCATATGCCAAGCAGAAGCCAAGTGCCCAACTATAAACCTACTCCTTCCAGTTTGATATTTGGTTAAGCTATTCAGTTAGAAGTATACACAATTTGGTTATAAATTGAGCAGTTTATGCGGAGCTAAAGAGACATGGAGTTGCAACTTCTGCGGTTTCACCATCAGCAAACAAACAAATCTGACTCTTGATGTAACCATGATATCAGATTCTTGGAAATTCTTGATTTTTACAGGAAAAAGAAAGCCACATGACAATCATTCAGTGCACGAGATACACCTGCAGGAATTTTCAGGTTAGATAAAGCAGAGGTAGACATAGGGTATTGTAGGAAAGGTTCTTGCATTGTGGCTCAGTATGCCAACAAAACCACACATACTTTGGAGTTATGGTTGCTGGGCGCAAATTGGCCTTAAAGTAAGTAGAAAACCCAGAATTAGAAACATCTGCTTAGACTATATCTCTCATGTAATTGTTGCAAAAAGTACCATCAAAACCTATATCTACTTGTCTGCTTTTATATCACAGCTAAACCAGCAGTCATTTACATTCTGCTAACAAAACTAATTCGAGTAATTTCATTCTTTATCTCTGGGTCAATTAAGTCGCTCATGAGTTCTTTCCAGTCAGTTATGTATCAATTCAATCTTCCTTTTTGCGCTTGAAACATCCAACATTGTAAAAGCAGGCCCTGTTCCCATTTGATAACAAGGGAATGTTAGTCATTTGGTTCTTGATGCACAATCTAGGATAACATGCATATTAGTATCTAGCTGTCAGTTTCTCATAATTTTAAATTGCAGCAATCTTGAAATGATACGTTAGGATTGATGTTACAAGTATATGGTTAAAACAAATGCTACTGGAAAATATTAAGATTCTCAAGGCTAGCATCAACTTGGCTTGTTTAGCGAGAGATTGAATAATTTTATAAGCCAGGCAAGTCAAACTGAGGCGCAAGTTTAGAGCTCAATTACAAAATGAGCTGAGCTCAACTCAGAAAGGCTTTCGAACACTAAATTTACATTCCTAATTATAAGTCCTTCAAACCAGCCAACCTTAGAAATACTACCATAATTTCACTCAAGAGTCGACTTAGAAAAACTGACATCATTTAGAGGTTTACCTTCAAGAATCAGTGTGAGGATTCTGAAGTAGAAAACGAGCATTATGTAGGATAGCACTTGCCTCCTCATTTGAGGCATCAAGCAACCGCAATTCTTTGATCTCCTCTTGCCATTTCTCCATTTGTTCCTTGTGTATCCTGCAAATATGAGTTAGTTATGTAAATGACCTCAGCTATAAAGGTAGAAAAATCCGGTAAAGTTTATTACTAACATAATCATCTTCTCTTCAAAATCATTACTGAGTTCCTTGAACATTGTCTTCCCTGATTCTAGTACCTCAGATACCTACATAAAATTGTGAAAACTTATAAGGACTTGCTGAGAAAGAAAAAATTGTAAAGGGATAATAATATTCACGGAGAAACCATTGCCAGATATGAACTATGTCAACTAGTCCATTGGTGTTGGAAATATTCAGTTCATACTGATTGCACACATATGGTTCACATAGCAAACTGCAAATGACTCATCAGACCGAATGATCTGCTGAGCACAAATCAAAAACAATTTGAGGCAAATTATTTAACAAAGCTATACCATCTCGGTGAAGCGATCAATCTTTTCAAGAATGTTACTGATATTGAGTTCCATCTCTTCAGATCCCACAACGTTTGTCTCAGTTTCTTCTTTCTCTACAGTCTCCAAACCTAATTCACCTCCTGCCTCCACTTCCTTCTCTTCCATCTAAAATGCCAGATATTAAGACATTGTCATTGCATAAATCACAAGAAAAGTATTTCTAAAATTGTTAATCTTTTGAAGATTTAATGAAGAACGAAATCAGACGTACGGTTGATTTCATGCGTTTCCTCTTAACTTCCGTCTCCATTTTTATAACGGTTATTGAAGACTGCCATGGATAACATCAGTACGTACAGTTGTAATAAACATATGAAGGCCAAACGTTATCTTTTTCAATAAGGAATCGATTTGAATTACTCTTTCTCTGATTAGAACCTAGTGCTATATTATTGAAAATGTTAATTGCCAATATATAAATTAATTTGAATAATTCTTAATTAGTACCATCCAATTACCAATAACTTTCTAAAAGAACAAATTAATACGTTTTTAATCTCCAGATACCCAAAACTATTGTAAAATAATTCCAAAATATATAGAGAAACATGGTTCATCAAATTAAGTAAATTTTGAGTCAATCATTTGTCGACCACGACAACTGATGTTGAAATTTATATGGGAGATCGAAATGCAACAGCGTCATTGTTTGAAGCAATCCATAGATTCTACAACTTAAAAATTCGATGACTAGTAAAACACCATATAATCAAGTTCAATTGAAATTATAATTGAAGAGAGCATAAACGATTTAATCTAGAAAAGAGAATCACCAATATTGGCCAAATGAGGCCTTGAAATTCTTACTAAAGTTGAATCACCTTTCAGATCTGCGATTAACTTTTTTCGTCTCTGGTTGCGAGAAAGACTTGTGTAGATCGTGCCTGAAGTTTTAATTTGAAATTTTCGAATTCTGGAATGCGCGCGAATTTTATTGGATTCTTGGCGCTCTGGTTAGCTTCGTACATGCATATCACTATATTGTAAATTGTAATGGCTATGGTCAGATTGGGCTAGAGATGGTCGTAATCCCTCTTTGTTCAATTAACGGGTAATTTTTCGGCCCACTTTATTTGTAGTACTGAAGTTTGCGTCTTCATTTATATGGTTTAACTTTTTAATGCTGTATAAATCATTTATTAAGCTGTTTTAATTTAATTTTTTTATTTAATTGAATGAATAATATTATATATACAAATTCATGTATATAAACTGGAGTGTTTTAATGTGATAGGGTAATTTTAATTTGAGATAAACTTAACAATTAAAATAAATGATATGTTAAATATGTTTGATTTAATCTTTAGAAAAATAATTTATACAAACTAATTTGTATATGTAACAATATTCTAATTGTTTTTAGTTTTTACATTCCATCCGTGTAGATATAAGATAAAAAGTAAATTTTGATAATATCAATTTTAAGAATTCTTTAAATAATGGATGAAACATTTGAATTTATCTATCATCCTTATTTAGTTATTTATTAGCTCAAATTTTTATCCATTCTTTATTCATTTTGGTTCACATTTAAAATTATGACAAAAAAAATTGCCCATCTAATATTATTCATGTTTTATATCGTTGATGCTTGTTTTTTATACCAATGACTTCATACGTGTAAAGTACTAAGAAGTTACACGTGAACAGATTATAGAAAGTGGGTGAAGTACTATTATGTCAATTGCATTTAAGTACGTAAAATAAATAATAAGAGAGTTTTTATAATGGTTCGGGTGCTTATAAGCGACTCTTACATCCATTGTGATTTGTATTTATAAGTGCTCTTTTCCTGATCGTTATACAAGTTTACNTAAGTCGCAAGGTGATTTTAAGCGTAGGCCCAATCGAGATTGGGTTGAGGCCTTAGGTCGTGACATGTTTATTTCGTTATTGGGCCTCGTCAAGCCCAAGACGATTTTTGGCCCTAACAAGAGTCTATTTGCTACAGACGGGCATCCTCATTTAACGGATGCACGTCCATAAGTAAAATAGATTAATTTTTTTTTATAAAAATTTAGGACGACCGTTCATAGGTTATGGACGACTGTCCCTAAATATTGGACAAGCGTTTATATTTTAATGGACGCCCGTCCATTAACAATTCTTTTTAAAAAAATTAAAAAACATTTACGGACGGCCGTCTATTCGTTTTGGACGGGCGCTCGCAAATAAAGGACGCCCGTCCTTAACCAAAATATGAAAATTAAAAAAAAAAAAAACATTGGGGACACCCATCCACGAATTGTGGACGGCTGTCCCTTAATTTTGGACGGGCGTCCGTAGGAAATGGACGCCCGTCCATTATTTTGGTTTTTAAAAACTAAAGAAAAAATTTGGACGACCGTCCATAAATTGTGGATGGCCGTCCTTTAACTATGGACGGGCGTTCGTAATTAATGGATGCCCATCCATTATTTTGTTGTTTCAAATATAAAATAAAAACTATGGACGGGCGTCCGGAAGTAATGGACACCTGTCCATTCTTTTGCTTTTAAAAAATAAAATTAAAACAATGGACGACCGTCCATAAATGGTGGACGACCGTCCCTTAAGTGTGGACTGACATCCATAAGTAATGGATGCCCGTCCATTATTTATGGATGGTCGTCCGTAAGGGTTGGACAGCTGTCCCTTATGTAAAGGACGACCGTCCAACCCTTATGAACGCCCGTCCACACTTTAATGTAATGTTTTTTAAATAAATTTTTTTTTTATTTGCGAAATAACACTAGCTTCTCCAATACGCTTCTCCACAAACCAGTGCCAAAATTCTTCGCCGCCTTCTGCTTCATCGTTACCGTCTGCTCTTGGCGTCTGCATTTCTCAGCCATTTCTTCTTGAACATCCATTTTTTCCTCATTTTCCAGCTACCGTGACAAGAACGAAAGTATAAACTTTTCATCAAACATTTTTTTATAGTGGAAAGGGAGATAAGAAGATCAAAATTTGTCCATATTAGAAAGATTTGTTGAGGTTGTTTACCGATTTTTATTTAACTTATGTATTTATTTAGTTTTGTATTATATTTTGGATTGAATATATGTTACAATAGAAAAAACTGATAGAGAATATTTGTTGGTGATTGTTATGAATCAGATTCGTGAACACGAACAATAGTATTGATTTTGCATTAAATTACAGAATATGGAAGAGTCCAGTTTGCCTCATTTCAATGATATTGAGGTAAATTATGCTCGAAACCTTAACTTTTTCGTTAACATGATTTTAAATTTATTGTATCGTATTGTTTCTTTTGATGTGTTGTATCAGTACATTCTAATTTTGTCTATTATAAAACTATTAAATGATCAGGAAAATGAACGTGATGAATTAGAAGGTATGGGATGTGCAGATGAAGAAGTAGAGCCTCATATTGAAATGGTGTTTGATTCTGTTGATAGTCTGGTGAAGTATTAAAAATGGTATGGTAACAAAATGGGATTTGAAACAATGATACGTACGTCAAAGAAAGGTGAAGATGGAGATATGAGATATGTGACAGTGGCATGTTCTTGTTCTGAGAAGGAGAGATGAGATATGTGACAGTGGCATGTTCTTGTTCTGGGAATGAGAGATGTAAGTCCAGAAATACCTTGAAAAAACAACCTGTTGCCAAAACAGATTGTAAGAGTCGGATTAGTGTAGCTTTGAATGGTGAATGCAAATGAGAAATTAAATCAGTTGTACTTGAACATACACCATGATCTTACAAGTCCGACAAAAAGAAGATATTTAACCGAACATAAACAACTTATGTGAAAAGGCGACTTGAAGTTAATGATTGGGTGGGATTAGACCGTGTAAAAATTTTCAATCATGTTCAGTTGGAGCAGGATGTGTAGAGAATTTGACGTTTCTACAAAAAGATTGTAGGAACTACATTGAAAAAGTGTGGAAAGTTACGACTTGGAGTTGAGATGCTTCGGCAGTAGAGTATTTTAGGAAATGCAAAAGGAGAATTCAAATTTTTGGTACATGATTGATGTAGATGAAGAGAGTCGATTATAAATGTGCTATGGGTTGATGCTAGATGTAGGGTTGCATATAAAGAATTCGGTGATGTTATCACCTTCGACACAACGTATCTGACGAACAAGTATGACATGTCATTTGCTGCTTTGTGGGGGGTTGATCATCATGGACATTCGACGTTGTTAGGTTGGGGTTAATTCTCATGAGGACACTAAACTTTGTATGGCTATTTCGTTCCTGGCTTGAATGCATGGATGTTGCTCCTAATGGAATAATCATTGATCAGATAAGGCCATGCAAATGTAATGAGATTGTTTTCCCCGGTACAAGACATAGGTGGTGTTTGTGGCATATAACGAAGAAACTGCCTGAAAAGTAAGAGAGTATAAGGAATATGAAACTATAAAGTTCAGTTGCAAAATGTTGTGTATGATTCCTTTACGCGTGAAGAGTTCGAAGAGCGGTGGAACCAATTGTTGATGTGCACAACCTTCACGAGATGCATGGTTTGTGGATTGTACAAAGAAAGAGTAGATAGGTGCCTACATTTCTTAAAGATACTTTCTGGGCAGGTATGTCTACTACCCAACGTAGTGAAAGTATGCATGCATTTTTTGTGGGTATGGAAATTCCAAAACCACTTTGAAACATTTGGGAACACTATGATAATGCATGCGAGCTAAAGGGAAAAAGAAAGGGAGGCTGATTTTAGATCTTTCAAATCTTGGATACCATGCATAAATAATTACCCCATCGAGAAACAATTTCAAAGTGCATACACAGCTGCAAAGTTTAAGAGTTTCGAAGAGATTGGGGGAAGATTATTGTGAGTTATCTTTTCTGAACAAATGTGATTCATACAAGGAGTATCAGTTTTGGAAGATGTTTGGTTTGGAGAATAGTCGCCGTGTTCTGTATGCGGTTATACTTTGAAGAAAGTTCGTGTGATATTCGTTGTACTTGCCATTTGTTTGAGTTCAGGGGGATTTTATGTAGACATGCCCTATGATGTGATTCATAAAAGGGTTTCACACGTTCTGGAAAAGTACATTTTACGGCGTTGGAGGAAAAATGTAAATAGATGTCAACGAAAATTAAGGTCAGTTATAATAGGTGGAGCACCAACATTGAAGGACAACGTTTTGATAAGTTGTCTATTAATGCTGACAGTAGCGGATATCACATCAAACAATGAGGAAGATTATAATATGAGACGAAGTTATGATTGAGATGAGGAAAAAGTTTGAGCAAAAGGAAAGTGAGGGAGGGCTTGGT